ATCCTACAAGAAGTTCATATTAAGAAACAACATCAAAAGCTATTAGAAAACCAAAAACTAGGAACACTATACACCTCATTAGCAGATCAGAAAAAAAGAGGGGTTGCAGTATATATCAAGAAACACCTAAAAACAAAGCAAGTATACGCAGACACAGATGGATGGATTTTGATGATAGAAATACAAACAGTATCAAAAGCAATATTATTAATATTGATATATGCACCCAACAGAAATCAAAGTGAATTTTTCAAAAAAATACATAACATAGTCAAAGATATGGAATATGAAAATATCTATATTATAGGAGATTTCAACGCAATTATAGACACCGAAAAAGACTACCAGAGCAATAAAAAGAACAAAACTAGGAAAAAGACACTACCAGACACATTCAAAGACATGGCAGACAAACTACAATTACATGATGTATGGAGAGAGGCGAATAAACAAGCAAAACAATATACATTCTATTCTAGCCCACATCAATCGTGGTCTAGAATAGACATGGCCTGGATGTCCTCAGAACTCAGGAAAGAGATAAAAGACATTGAAATATCACCAAATACCTGGGCAGATCACAGTCCAATAACAGTAGTATGGAAAGGATACCGGAAACAAAAAAGGTCGATGATGAATACCGAAATAATAAAGGATAAGGAATACTCACGGATGATTGAGAAAGAAATGATTATGTTTTTTCAAATAAACACCAAAGAACAGACTTCACTCCAAAATCTATGGGACACAGCCAAAGCCTACATAAGAAGCCTTACTATCATGTATGCGGCAAAGAAAAATAAAGATAAACAACAGATAAGAAATAACCTATTAACAGAACTCAGAACATATGAATTAGAGCTGCAGAAAGAACCCCACAATAAAATAATCAAAGGAAAGTTAAATCTTGTCAAACAAAATTAACTTAACTACACAAACAGAAATTGCACAGAAAATTAAATTGGCAAAACAAAATCATTTTGAGCACGCAAATAAAACAGGTTGCTGGTTAGCGTACAAATTGAAAAAGGAAAAAGAGAAGAGAACTATATACCAGCTGCAAGACGAGGTAGGAGAAATACACCACATAAATCAAGACAAAAAACGTATAGCAAAAAAAAAAATTTCAGAACCTTTACAAACAAGAAGAAATCCGGGAAGAAGATATTAAGGAATATTTACGTAAAACAAATATTCAACAGCTGGAAGAGACACACAGAGAGTTATTAAACAGACCAATTACCATGACTGAATTGATAGAAGCAAGGAAAAAACAGAAAAACAATAAAACTCCAGGACCGGATGGTATACCAACAGAATTCTATAAAAAATGTCAACACCCAATGGACGAGTTCTTACTCCAAGTTTTTAACAATGCACTCTTAGAAGCAAAAATCCCCAAATCCTGGACTGAAACCATCATTACACTCATCCCAAAAGAAGAAACAGACCTCACACAAATTAAAAATTACAGGCCAATATCGCTGTTAAATGTGGATTACAAGTTGTTCATGCTGGTTATTACGCAGAGACTGAAAACAATTATTCATGAATACATTCATCCAGATCAAAATGGTTTTGTTCCAAGAAGACAGATTAAAAATAATATGAGAACAATCATTAATGTTCTTGAATACTATGAGAAAAATTTGGACAAACAATTGGCTTTAATCTTCCTGGACACGCAGAAGGCTTTTGACAACCTAAATTGGAAATTTCTTATATTACAATTGGAAACTATGGAATTCTGCGATAAATTTTTAAACATGATTAGGAAAACATACTCCTCTCAAACAGCAAAAATTATGATAAATGGGAACATGACAGAACAATTCGAGATATCAAAAGGAGTGAGGGAAGGATGCCCCCTATCCGCATTATTGTTTATAATATCCCTAGAAATTTTATTAAATGAAATCAGGGAAGATAAAGAAATAAAAGGACTGAGAATAAAAAAAGAGGAGTACAAATTACAAGCCTTTGCCAACGATGTGGTGTTTATCTTAGAACAACCAGAAATAACAGGAACCAGACTGTTAGTAAAAATAGAGGAATATGGAAGAGGGGCCGGTCTTAAAATCAACAAACAGAAAACAAAAGCATTAACGAAGAACTTGACAAATTCACAGGAGAAAGAATTAGAGGATAAATTAGGAATACAAATAGTAAAGAAAGCAAAGTACTTAGGAATCTGGCTCACCAATAAAGTGAGCCAGATTCTCCTCAATCAGAAGAGACAATTATACTAAATTGACAAAACAGATAAAAAAAGATTTGGAAACATGGAGCAAACTACAATTGTCATTTCTAGGGAGAACTGCATCTACTAAAATGAACATACTACCTAGACTACTATATCTCTTCCAAGTAATCCCGATATGGCCAGGAAAAGATTTTTTAAAAGACTTTAATAAAATGATAGCAAATTATATTTGGCAGGGGAAGAAGGCTAGAATTAAAATTAAATGTCTGCAAGATACCCGGGAGAAAGGAAGAATAGGATTACCGGATTGGGAATTGTACTACAAGGCGGCATCATTAAATTGGATAAGAGACTGGATGGACCTTAAAAATAAAAGAACATTAACTTTAGAGGGCTTTGACCTGCAAAGAGGTTGGCATGCATTTCTGTGGGAGGGAAGAGACAAACATCATGGATACTTTCAACAACATATTATTAGAGGAGCACTACATGGAACATGGCAAGAGATTAGAAAAATACATTACAATAAAATTCCAGGATGGCTATCGACCATGGAGGCGCTGATTTATCCTAACACAATGGATATGGAAAAAATGAGAAATTACAAACAACTATTGAATAACAGAGGAGAATTACAATCGAGACAAGAATTGAAAGAACAGGGTATAGACATTGGCTGGTGGCCATATTTACAAATAGAATCAAGGTATAAAACAGATTGAGCACAATTCGGATTCCAAAAAGAACCAAATGAATTGGATAAAATTTTACAAGGAACGGACGAGAAAATGATAACCAAAATATACAATTATTTATTAAAATATAAATTAGAGGAAGAAGTGGTCAAAGAAAATATGATAATTTGGGCGAAAAACTTTGGGTATAGTATCGAATTAGACAAATGGGAAAAATTATGGAGTGTAAATTATAAATTAACAATGTCTATACTCTACAAGGAAAATTTGTACAAAATGTTCTACCGATGGCACTTCCCGCCGGCGTGCCTAGCAAAAATGTTTCCAAATACCTCCCCAACGTGTTGGGAGTGTAAGTCACAAAAAGGAATCTATTACCATTTGTGGTGATCATGCCGAAAGGCGAAACAATATTGGCAGGAAATAAGGATAAAGATAGAAGAAATCACAAATCAGAAATTGGAAATGAAACCGGAAATCTTTCTACTTGGAATAATCACAACTCAATACGTGAAAGAAATAAAATATTTAATTATTCATATCTTAACTGCAGCACGCATTCTCATTACCCAAAATTGGAAACATGAAGACATACCAACGGAAAATAAAATAATCACCAAAATTACAGAATGTGCAGAAATGAATAAACTTACAAAAGAACTACAAGAAAAAGATGACACAGATTATTACTTAGTATGGTAAAAATGGTATAACAGGTTGGAGAAAAAGATGGAAATAGATACATTGGGACACAAAAGAAAGAGGTCAATGTAGAGACAAAAATTTGAGTACCAACTAAGGAATATAACAATTTAAATATGGAACTTATTATATGGTCTTATATGTAAATATGTAAATACATAGATATATAGATAAGAATAGAAAAACAGTCTACCGATGTGATAGCTTTAAAAAGGAAGTCGTAAGACTTGATTTATGTTTGTATATTTTGCATGTTGTATCGTTGTATCTATGTTCATAATTTTTGATTAATAAATTTTTTTAAAAAAAATAAATATTTCTCAAGATATTTCATTCTTCTAGGAGGGATGACTTCCCTCAATTGGGACATGACAAGCTAATTTTCACTCTTGATCTCAGCAATTTTTATTTGGGAGAAGTGTAGATGTTCGATTATCACTATTATCTTACATCTGAGAGTTTGGAGAGTGAACATTGTAATTGTATTACAGGAAAGTGAAGCCCTGATACTACTATGAGATTTCACTTCATAATAAAGACAATGAAAAATATTCAGAAATTCAGAACACAATTGTTAAAACAAACCAGAATGTCTAACATAAATCTATACTTAAATCCTTATCTGATGTTTCAGTTTTAAATGGTAGAAAGTGTTTAAAGATCCAAAACTGACCCTCTTTCAAACATCCAAATTTGAATGCAAATAAAATGATTGACTAAATGGTACACATACTCAATATAAAGGTCACTTTATATTTTTATCACTTTTTGTTGTGATCACAATTTTTTTTTTAATTTGATTTGATTTATATGCCACCCTTCTCTGGAGACTCAGGGCGGCTTACAATGCGTTAAGCAATAGCCTTCATACTTTTGTGTATTTATACAAAGTCAGCTTATTGCCCCCACAAACTGGGTCCTCAATTTACCTACCTTAGAAAGGATGGAAGGCTGAGTCAACCTTGAGCCTGGTGAGATTCGAACTTACAGTAATTGCAGACAGCTGGTGTTAATCACAATACTATCAGTCTGCTGAGCCACTAGGCCCATTTTAATTCACCCAATTCTGGGTGATCTAAGGTTTTAGAAGACTGAATTCATTTGGACATATTTGTTTCTTGAAATCTTTTATATGAGCTCAAAATCTATTACAGGTCAATTAGTAGAAATAGAGTTTTTTCTCCACAAATAGAGCATTTTTCAGTTTAGTGGTTTAGTAAGCTAGTTGTGTGGTACCTTAACAAGTATGCAGTTGAACACTAAACTAATTTTTATTTCTTGTTTTTTCCTAGATTGGTTCAATCTGTTTTCTTGTACATGGAAATCTCTGTATTTTATTATTTGTTTGTGGCATCAATAAATGCTTTGTCTCTTTTTAACATGTAAATAATTTTTTTCAGTTACAGGAAACAAGTAATACTTCAATGAATGGAATAACTGATGAAGCATTTCCCATCACTGAATTTGACTACGATGGTGCAGTAGCACCATGCCATTCTGTGGGTTTGCAAACATTTATTTCCAATGTCCTGCCAGCATTTTATTCTTTGGTATTCATCTTTGGCCTTGTGGGCAATGTACTGGTTGTACTGGACCTAATCAAATATAAGAAGATTAAGAGCATGACAGATATATATCTGTTAAATTTAGCCATCTCTGATCTGCTCTTCATTTTTTCACTTCCCTTTCGGATTTATTATTCAATAGATGACTGGATATTTGGAGACACAATATGCAAAATTTATGCTGGGATCTTTTTTTTACGCTTCTACAGTGGAAGTTTTTTCATTGTCCTCTTGACCATTGATCGATATTTAGATATAGTTTATTCAGCATCTGCATTAAAATCCCAAACTATATGCTATGGTATCATTACAAGCATTCACACATGGGGCCTCGCAATTTTAGTCTCTTCACCAGGATTAGTTTTTTTCAGATTACAGGTGGAAAACTATAAGAAATCTTGCACTTCTAATTTTCCACACGAAAGTCATTTTGCATGGAACAACTTTTTTATACTGAAAATGTTCTTCATAGGTCTGATTTTTCCAATGATGATTGTGGCCTTCTGCTATGCGCGCATTTTAAGTACCCTGTTAAAATCTAGGAATGTGAAGAACAAAACAGCCTGGCTTATTTTCATCATCATGGTTACTTATTTCCTCTTCTGGACCCCGAACAACATTGTTTTTGTGCTTCAGTTATTTCATACTTCATTTTTTGCTGACAACTGTGACAATTTAAAGAGAATGAATATAGCATTGCAACTGACTGAAACACTTGCAGTAGCTCATTGTTGTATCAATCCTTTGATCTATGCTTTTGCTAGTGAGAAGATTAAAAAATATGTTATCAGCTTTTTCCAGCCATGAAATTCCTGTATTTTCCTGTATAAAGATCCTCTGGAAAGAACAGTTTCACATATTGATATTCTATTGGAAATGAAGACATTTCAGCAATTTTACAGAATATATGTGTAGAGAAAAATATCATTTAGTTTTAAGGATCAAGTCACTTTTAACACAAAAGCTATTTTTGTGTTAGAAGACCAGATTCTTTTGTGTTAGAAGACCAGATTCTGTGGGTTTGCAAACATTTGTTTCCAATGTCCTGTCAGCATTTTATTCTTTTGTATTTATCTTTGGCCTTGAGAGCAATGTGCTGGTTGTACTCGACCTCATCAAATATTAAGAGCATGACAGATATATATTTATTAAATTTAGCCATCTCTGATCTGCTCATTTTTTCATTCCTCTTTCAGATTTATTATTCAATACATGATTGGATATTTGGAGACACAATATGCAAAATTTATACTGGGATCTTTTTTTTTTACGCTTCTACAGTGGAAGTTTTTTCATTGTCCTCTTGACCATTGATCAATATTTAGATATAGTTTATTCAGCATCTGTTTTGGTGATGTTAGTTTACGAATTATTTATGAATATCACGTGCAGTTCAAATTGACATATTATAGATTTGAGTACTCTGCACATAGTGAAAAGAATCAATTCTTTGCTTGAGCAAAACATATTATATATACCCTACCACATCTGAGATATATTTAAAATATATTTTATAGCAGGACACATTTGATAATTCTAACTTCAGAGTGTTTCAATTCACTTTTTGAAAAAAAAATAAGTACTTTATCTTTTCTAAATATACTGAGGCTGTAGTTCTATTAATATGTTTGGTAGTGTTAGTGTAAGTCTCCAGGAACTTACTTAAGTTTTACTTTTGTATAATCCAGAAATAGGTTACATTATCAATGCTGTATTTGTACACTATTCTGATATTGCAGATTTCCTATATTACTCTATAAAGATGGACCCAGTCCAAGTTTGTGTTTCAAAAAATTACTAAACTATCGATTTGGATGGCAGCAAAGGTTATCTAGCATGAGAATGTTTGGAAATGTGTTGATTGTAGGAGGAAAGGTCCTTCAAAGTTGTTATATCCCATCAACATGTATAATTCCTCCTGTAGGTATTTTTTTTTAACTAGGAAAAGTAGTTTTTAAAATATTATTTTAATAGAATTGTCTTAGCAGTAGTTTGATGAAAAACTTAGTATTGGTGCAACAATTATAGCAAATATTGTTTGTGTATATTTTGGGTTCTTGAAAAATTAATGTTTTGATTCTATACAATTCATAGGATATTGGGGCAGCTTATTCCTTTATAATATGATATACTATTCATTGCCAACAAATAAAATTAGTTCCCCATCCAATGGAGAAAGCAATCCAACTTCAGAATAGTATCCCTATATGCCAGGGCCAATTCTAATTGGAAGTATGGTTTCCCCAACTATTTTAAAGATTTTAGTCATAGCACTGGATGACCATCCATTGAGTCGATTAAATCATTACTCTACTAAGGATGACCTTCATTAGGTTTTCATTCCCTCAAACAAGCATTTCTGGAACATCTCTACTCAGGGACCAAAACTCACCCACTGAGGGGTCTTTGTAAAATAGTTATTTCCTCACACAATGCAACTTTTAAAGTTAACACATGTTGGCTGGACATCCATTTTGATGGAAAGAAAGTGAATAAAATAGAAATCGGTGTGTGTGTGTGTGTGTGTGTGTGTGTGTGTGTGTGTGTGAGAGAGAGAGAGAGAGAGAGAGAGAGAGAGAGAAATCATACAGAGATTATATAAAATAAAGTGAAATATTCTTAGTAATTTTCAACAATTGGTTGTTTTTCATTTATTGTTTTAGGCCAGGGGTGTCAAACTCGCCTTGTCATGTTGTCACATGATGTATCGCAATTTTTTTTCCCTTTGCTAAACTGGGGGTGGGCATGGCCAGCACATGACAAATCCAGCCCGTGAGTTTGACACCCGTTTTAGGCTAAAGGAAAGTCCACAAATTGTTGTATTTGACCTGAAAATATCACTTAAGTATGAATAAGTTTATATTTCATTTTAATTTTACAGTATTGCTTAGAATTATTATTTCTAACAGAAAGAAAAGCATTACATTCTAATACTTCAAACTATGCACATATGCTGAAAACTAGCAACTATTCCTCCACATTTTAAAATAGACTTTATGTCATCATCATCATCATCATCATCATCATCTTAGCCATTGTCTATCCACTGCAGGATGAAGGCCTCTTCCATACGTTTTCAACTAATATGTCCTGAGCTTTTTTTTTGCCAATTGCTTTAATAAATAGAGTGTTGGAAGAAAAATCCATCCGGTTCAGTTCCAAGCTGGGAGAAAGACCATGGAAACATGGAGGCTGTTAGAAAGATGGTTTATTGATGAAGCAGAACACATGTGATTCTGGGCAGCTGACAAAATGGAGTTGAGAGTGGGGGTTGGTGGGTTATACCTTCCTTGGGCTTTGTATTTGAGCTTCCTCTTCCTGTGCAAGAACATATCTAATATTCTATTGGCTGTTGTCAGATTCCTATAGGGGTAATGTAGGGGTTATGTAGGGATCATAGCTGGCTCTATAGGGAAAAGAGGAAATGCAAATCCTAGGTGTTTGTCTGAGCTAATCAGGTCAACCTCTGGCTTATTGTTTATTAGTTCCAAGGTTTCTGTGACTTTGAAGATTGGACTGCTCAATGAAGGGGCTTGTGTTCTGAAAGGGTGTTGTGCAATTCCTATTATGGCTAATGGCTTTCGTCCTGTGATTGATCTTGCATGAGGGGCTGCTTCTAATTCTATCACTGTGTTTTTGGTAGCTGTCAAACTTTGCTGCAAGCAGTTTCAAAATATCCTGTCTTGAATGGATTTCTGCCTGCAGTATATGCTTTGCTTATGAATAGTGCCATCTAGATAGTTGGATTCGTCTTTCAATAAGCTCTTTAATCTCTTAAATGCTGGCATCTGCTGTGGGCTATTAAGAAAGACTTGGGGGCTGCTTCCTGCCTCTAAAAACATGTTTCTCCATTTCTCATTTAGGGAAATATAATATTCTGCCTTTTTAAATATTCCTCAAAATATTTCATTCTTCTAGAGGGCTTTTTCCCCCCACAACAGGAAAGCAGAAAATAAGATTAAATAGATAATTTTCACAATATAAGAACATGTAAGGTGTTCTTCCAATTATGCATTTTGGAATATTGTGTTGGAAGAAATCTCCATCTGGGTTCAGGTCCAAGTGGGGAGAAAGACACTGGAAACATGGAAGCAGTTTGGAAAGATGGTTTAATGGTGGAGAAGACTACATGGTTTGAGGTCCTGGCCAATCGAGCACATGGGAAGGAGTGGGAGGGAGAGAGAAAGAGGGAGATAGATAGATAGATACCTTCTCTTGGGCCCCGCCTTGGAGCTTCCTGTTCCTGTGTAAGAAATGTATTCTGATGGGCTGTCAGACTCCCATGCAGGGGTAACTTTGTAGGTTGTCTTAAGTCCCAGGCTTGGTTGAATCTTGCTGGGTGATGTAATGAAGGAGCTTTGGGCAATTCCTATTATGGCTTAATGGTTTTGTCCTGGTTTGGATCTTGAATGAGGGCTAATTCTATCATGTCCTGAGGGTAAAGGTCTTAGAACCAGTAGTAAAAATTCTGGCTGCTCCACCCCCTCACTCCTCTTCTTGTCCACTCACCCGGCATAGCTGCTGCTGCTCTCGGTGTGATTCCCTCGCTTGTCTCGACCACATGGTCTCTGCGGGCCAGCCAGCTTGCTTGCCTTCACCCCGGCCTCCGACATGGCCCAGATACCTGCCGAGCCTTCCTTTGCCGTTCTCCACTCCTCCAACCCGGCCCAGCTACTTGCCTGTCTGGTGAGCCTTCCTTCACCTCTTTGCTGGCAGAAATGGCCTGTTATAGGGCCTTCCTAGGGCTCCCCCGGCCTGTTACAGGCTGAAATGGGGAGTTCCTGGGCCCAATTCACCCGTCTGGGCTCCGTCTGGGCCTTCCTAGGTCTCCCCTGGCCTGTTACAGGCTGAAATTGAGAGTTCCTGGGCCCAATCTGCCCTCCCCACCCCAATTCCCATGGCTTTACTGTACTTACTTTTTGAAGAGCTGCAGAAAAAGCTGAGCCACGTGGCAGAGAAGCCAAAGTATTTTATTCAGAAGCGGTGAAGCTGTAAGAACATGAGATGTAATGAAAACAGCTTTCCCCATCTGAATAAAAAGTCTTTGGCTTCTCTGCCATGAGGGCCTGCAGGTTTTACCCAATCTGGTCAGGCTTAGTTTGGGCCTGCTTGCTGCTGACTGGCTAGTTCGAATGAGCAGCTTCAGAGATTGGGGCATGACAGCCAATCAACAAGGGCCTTGCATTTCAGCCTGATGAGACAAAGGAAGCTACCTCCCCTTTCATTGGTTGCTGCTGTTGCTGCCTCAATCCCTGAAGCAGGGAGCTGCTGCTTCTAGGCCTAGGCCTGCTGGCCACATGGCCCCAGCTGGAGTGTTTTATTCAAGCTGGTGAAAATGTTTTCCTTAGATTTCACATTCTTACACCTTCACCATCATCTGAATAAAATACTTTGGCTTCTCTGCCAGTGGGTCAGCCTCTTCTGAACCTCTGGAGATCTTCAAAAAAGTAAGATCTTCAAAAAGTAAGTAATAAAATAAATGGCATGATTAACGTTTCTATTATTTTCAGTGGGAAGTAAAGATAATTAAATTAGCATGAATGTAACCTATTATGATTATGTTTAAAAATATAAAAGAACTATATGTTAAAAATGTCCCTGATTTGCAAATCATTTATGTCCATCCTTTGATTTTTGTAGCAAATTGTATATTTTTGTTTTAATAAAAGTGAATATTCATTGAGAATCAATCTGTTTCTTCAGAGTAGTTCCTCTCTCACCATCCTCTAAAGCTCTACTCCTTAACTGATTTTTCTTAATAATTTGTCTATTTAGAACAACATAAAGGAAGCAAGAAAAAAGGCAACAGAATTCCTAAGGGAGCAAAATCCCTACAGCTATATAAAGACCCCACAGTGGTCTCTAAAGTGGTCTTATTGCCACAGTAAAAAGCTAGTATAATGACTTTAAAATACAGCTATTACTGTTTCCAAAAAATATATACGGTACTTGCTAAAATTTTAGAAGGTACCTGTGTTAACAGATAGCTGCTTCCATTAGTAGAACAGCTTTCAATATAGGGGGGAATAATCACAAATCCAGCAAGTTTTTATATTTGCTTGAGAGTCTGTGAAAAACCTTTTGCTAATGTTAGAATGAGACTTCACTGCACAACTAATGTAGTTTTTTCTTCTTGTAGTTCTTGAAATCCATGGCACAGAATTCAATGTTTCAAAAGTATTCATATCATTTTAGCCATTTTTGACATAAGATTGCCAGATTTAAACATTCCGAGTGTTTAAACATTTAATGGAAGTCTTTTTATAATGCTACTATCAAGCATTGTACATTAGGCTTGTCAAATTTCTTGTTTCTGATCAGATTGTATTTCACAATGCTTCAAGTGTATCAGTTGTGGTTTCCTTAACAGATAGTAAAGTGATATGAATCATTACTGGATTTTTTGTGAGAAACTGAAATTAAAAATTGATCTGTGCTTTGATGATTAGATATGGGATTATGGAAATAATGTAGGCAAATGTTAATCTTAGAGTAAGTTTAATATATTTTCTATTTACCGTATTTTTTGGACTATAAGATGCACTGGACTATAAGACGCACCTTAATTTTTGGGGAGGAAAACAAGAAAAAAAGAATTTTGCCTCTGCCTACCAGCATCAGGATCAGCGGGGTTCTCACTTCCACTTGGATTTTGATAACAAGTAGCACAGACCTTTTTATCCATTTAAAACAAACCCTATCACTCTACGCGCATTTAAGTGGAGTGGGGTGGGGGATGATTTTCATGGGGGCAGAAGAGGGACTTGGCACCGAAGGCTCTATTCTCGAGATGCCTCTGTCTTCCTACCTATAGCCATAGGCGTTGAAAGCCTGGCTTTCTCGCAGCAAAACCCTATAGAGACACAGCACTTCAGTCCTCCTGGACGCTCGTAAACAGAGTCCTCCTCGATGCTTGTAAACAGGGTGCCGGGTTTCCCGGCAAGCCCCCTGCGCCTTTGCTGCCTTGGTCGGAGCCTGATTCCGGAAGTGGCCTGGAGAAGCGCGGAGGTCGGGACTCGGAGAAGTGGGCGCTGTGCAGGGGGAATAAGGCAAGGCACTGTCACCCGAAAACATTGTTGCCGTGATCTCCGCTGCCTGGAGATCTCCGCTGCCTCCCTGATTCCAAAAATGGGGCATGTGGAGGCAAAAAAAGAGCATCGTGTTTTTGGGCGGCTCCAGGCAGCGTAACGCCCCCAGTGTAGTGCCCAGCAAGCCATCAGTTCCTTGACAATGTAAGCCCACTCAGCACACCCGAAGGCTGAGTGTGTCACGCCCCCTGGCCACGCTCACCTAGACAGTCATTAGAGCACAGAACTGGTTGTTAAAAAATTTGCAGCCCATCACTGCTCCAAGGTACTTTCTTATTCTAAAGTCTTCAAAACAAGGGAATTTGCTTAAATTGTGTGTGTGTGTGTGTGTGTGTGTGTGTGTGTGTGTGTATTTTCCTCAGGAATAATGGAACAGAGCTGAAAGGGACTTTTTCTTTTTGAGAAAATTTTATTTTTTTAAACAAATATAAAAAAACAAACAAATAAAAAACCATCTTCAATTACAAATACAAACAGTGTGTCGGTTGGTTACAAGTCTTTTGTGTGTCTTCACCTTATTCATGTATATCCATACATTTATTATCCTGATTAATCATATATTTAACTATGGCTGCTTCTTCCCTCGTTTCATACCAGATATTCTAAAATTGAGTTAATTTATATTATACCATTCATATCATCCTCTTAAATCGCTCCATCAATAGTACATCTTTATATCATATTTTATATAATTCTACATTACTTGTATTAGAAAGATCATATTTCATTTCCATATTTTTTTATCCAACCATTGGTAAAATAAGTCCCATATCTTATAATATTGTTTATCTTTTTGTTTTTTAATTTCAAATGTCAATTTACTCATTTCAGCACATTCCATTATTTTCTTAATAACTTCTTGCGTTGGGATTTTCTCATTTTTCCAATTTTTAGCAAACACAATTCTAGCCGCTGTTAATACATTCACAATCAAATATCCCAATTCTCTATTGTATATTTCAGGTACTATCCCCAATAAAAAAATCTCTGGTTTATAGTCTATATGCTTTTGTGTCATTTTTTCCACCTGTGTGTGGATTTTAGTCCAGTATCTTTTAGCTTTTACACACGTCCACCACATATGGTAATATGACCCCGGTATCTGATGACATTTCCAACATTTTTCAGATTTATTCTTGAACATTCTGGGTATTCTTGTCAAGGGTAAATGCCACCTGTAAAACATCTTATACAAATTTTCTTTATATGCAGTTGACATTGTCATTTTATAATTTTGTGACCACAATTTTTGCCATTTCTCTAAGTCACTTCCATGTCCATAATTTTCCCCCCAAGCAATCATTGTTTCTTTAACTTGTTTATCTTCCAATTTAACCTCTAATAAATATCCATATAGTTTTTAAATTATGTTTTCATCAGTACCTGTTAAAATTTTATCTAAACTAATCAAATTGTTATAAAAACCTTCTGTTTTATAATCTTTATCGTGTATAGACTGTATTTGCAAATAAGAATATCAGTTCATCTTTATACCTTGTACTTCTAATTCTTGCATAGATTTAAGTTCACAAGAAAGAGACTTCTGAGGTCTTTGAGTCCAACCACCTGCTCAGGCAGGAAAACTGAGGATGCCAAAATCTGAGTGGAGGGCCTGGGAAAGGTGTCAGAATAACAGAATAACACTCAGAAGGGACTTGGGGGGGGGGGACCTTATACCATTTCAGAGAAATTGGCTGTCCAGTCTTTTCTTAAAAACTTCCAGTGATCGAACACCCAGAACAGGGGTATTCACTTACCTTTGCTACCGGTTCGCAAATGTGAGCACATGCGCACTTGTGTACACCTCCTCCACGCAGAGGGTAAAAAACGGGATGTGATGATGTTCGGGCAGGTGGGCGGAGCCTCCTGCCGCTACTGGCTGAATTTCACCACTGACCCAGAACGTCTGGAGACAAGTAGTTCCACTGGTTAATTGTTCTCACTGTCAGGAAGTTTTTCCTTAGTTTTAGGTTGCTTTTCTCTTTGTTCAGTTTCCATCCATTGCTTCTTGTTTTGCTTTCTGCTTCTTTGGAAAATACATTGCCTCCCATTCTTTGTGGCAGCCCCTCAATAGCCTGTTTTGTGACCTGCCTATCACACTCTTGGGCAAAGCATGTGAGCCATTTCCTCCTTTTGGTGGTCCATGAAAGTACATCTATAGTAGGTAGATGCAGATAATGAAGTCGAAAAAAGGTGAACATTTTTACAGAATTATAGATACGTTGAGGCCAGGCGTGACAGGTAATAGATTCAGGATGCTACAATTTTTTCAGGCTACAATTAAAATAAAATAGAGAAGATCTCCAATCGATTCTCTAACCAAAGTATAACTTTAAAATGGCAAACGCTTTTGAGTTTGCCAATTCCAATTAATGCACGTTGCACTAAATCACCCAAAGTTTGAATACACCGTCCAATGCTTGTCCAGTTTTTTGCAGTTAATTCATCAGGGCTCTTTAGGTTTATATATCCCCCGAATACGATGGGAAAGTACTGTTTCCTTAGCTGTAGGTATGATTGCTTTCTTGCACACTGCACACTGCCCTTTAACGAATATTTCATAAAAACAAACTCATTATAAAAACTCACTGGAAATCTTGCTTAAATCGCATAAAGTAATTCCCGCCTCGTAACGCTTAAAGGAGCCACAAACTCCCGGAAGCTTTTTTTTTTTTTTGCAGCTCTTCTCCACCCATTTCTGTCGCATCTTCGGCTTAATTCTTAGTCACATGACTATGCGTAATCAAGAATGGCGAGAGGTTGAGTAGCTTTTCGCGCATGCGTGGTTTGGCATCCTGGTCTTTCCCGCCAGCTTGCGGAAGATTGGAGTTCTTGGAAAGAGTACGAGAAAGGTAACTGACTGAAGGCCGAAGCGAGGGAGGGGGGCGGCAAGGGGGAAGAGGCGTAAGAATTTTTGTCTCACACCGCTTCTGTCTTCCTCTCTAAATTTCCTGTTCTTTTCCGTCTCCTCCTTCTCTGTAGATCGGTTTCTACTGCAGTTTCTGAGGTTATGGGCGGGAGAATGCAGAATCGTCGCCCAATCCAAGATTAGGGATAGGTTTGACCCAAGTGAAATCGCGATCTGTCTTGGGTCCTAAAGCGCTTGAAGCGACTTTATTTGACCCAGAGCCTTTCAGGTGTGTGAAACTACATCTTCCATCGTCACCCCAAGCATTCATGAATTTTCAGCAGGTCACCTGCTAAGTGGGAAGGTTGGGATATGTGTGTGTGTGTAGGTCCACACATCTGGAAGGTCCCAAATTAGAGCAGCGATGAGAGAAAAACGAGTTGCTCAGAACGTTTGAGGAGTGAGAAGGAACCTGTCTAATCCGATTTCTCTTTCTAAGACTTCTTTCATTTCTGAGATGGTTTTACACCTACAACAGTTGCAAAATATCAATCTTAAATCCATGCTACTGCATTATTACATCATCTCTCTTTCCAATATTTTGCATAATTTACAGAAGAAAAGGTCCTGCATCAGCCGCACAAAACTCAGCAAGTTTTTAAAAATGTATAAACCTGCAGGGATGTCAAAAATTCTCTGCCAGTCATTGCAGGGGTTTTTTTTGTTTGTTTATTTCCATTATTTAATTGGGGAGGGGGAGGATTGATACAGTATTGGAAAGTTTGAGAAGCCTTGAGCCAGATTACAATGATTTGCAAAAAAACCTTTATTTTCCATTTCCTTCTGTACTCTGAATGATTTTACACTTAGGGAGCATTAAACATCTACCCATATAAAAAAAGGATGCTATAATGTTGTTTTATAATTAGATATTTCCCTTAAGATTTTATCAAATGTAATTGTGTCTGCTGTAGCTCTTTAGAGAAGATCTAGGCCAGTGGTTCTCAACCTTCCTAATGCCGTGACCCTTTAATACAGTTCCTCATGTTGTGGTGACCCCCAACCAGGGGTGGGTTCTAATTTCTTTTACTACCGGTTCTGTGGGCGTGGCTTGGAGGTCATGTGACTGGGTGGGCGTGGCTAGCTGGTCATGTGACCGGGTGGCCATGGCTATGTGTATAGGGACTACTCAGAGGGCTGAAAAAAGTCATTTCTGACAGGTCCTCGCACTTTTGACTGATCCTCACACTTATGACCATCCTCACATTTATGCCCGTGCAGCATTCTTAACAACCATGTTACTCATTTCACAACTGCTTCTTTTCACCATGGTGATAAGATAGGGCAAAAAACGTAAAATGTGAGGATAGTCATAAATTCGACAACTGGTCAAAAGTGCAAGGACCAGTCAAAAATAACTTTTTCAGCCCTCGGAGTAGTCCATATGCATAAAAGGATACAGCAATAGAGAGGGTTGAAGGAAGGGAAGGGAAACTAGAGTAGGAGTGAGGGTAAGAGAGGGAGGAAAAGAGGAGGAGAAGGAGAAAGGAAGAGGAAGTAGGGAGGAGAAGAAGAGGGGGGAAAGGAAAGAAAAGAGAGAGGTGGTAGGTTTGAGGAGAAAGATTGCTGTACAATAAAAAATATGAAAGGGAAGAAAGCCAACCCCAAAGAAATATAAAGATATTAAGATAAAGAATGAATTGTTAAACTTTAAAGAATAAAAAAGAACAAATATGAATAAATAACAATAGTTAGAAACACATTCAAACATACAATGCATTTTCTTTGAACAGAGAATTTGGCCGGTTCACAAATTTAAACAGTGTTTAGTCATTTCAATTAAATTTACAATTTCTATATTTCCTTTTTGCCATATTTATTCCTCATCTATTTTTTTAAAAAAAACCAATATTACCCTTCATCCTCATCTCTAATCTTAATGAAATTCAATTTTTCCCTTCTATTCTATATTATACCCCTTCCCATTGTCATCTATTTTTATATCCATCCTCACATTGGTTAATTATGTAATACAGTTGTTTAATACAAATTCAACATTTTAATATAGATCAATTAGTTATATAACTATCTTTTTTGTATATTAATCAATATGAAGATGAATATTCCAATTATTTCCATGCAATCCAATTAATTATATTTACCAATAATAATAAACTAAATAATTTCCCCCATATATTCCTCCAAACCACAACTTAACCATTTCTGCTTTCAATACAATATACAATTAATAGTATCTCAATTATTATAATTCCCTAGTTAAATAGAGCTTTTTTTCTTTTGTGTTTTAAAATCTTGAACTCTCCTCTTTTGCCCTAAATTTCCCATTGTTTGCACCTACCTTTTTTGGTGAGGAGAAAGAAAAAGAAAAAGAAATCTCTCTCCCTGCCTCATTTTGTCATGTTGCAGCAGAGCCTACTTTACTTTCAGTTTCCTCTTAGCTAGGGGAAAAAAAAATCTGCTCCAGCACTCTTTGCAGCAAGCAAAGAGCTTGCAAAACAAGAGCTTGCAAACGAGCCAATCTAATCATGCTAATTAACCTATCTTGAAGTTGAAAGAGGCTGGTTTTTTTTTGCTGTTTGCTTGCAAGGAGGTAAGTGCTGTGAGGCACAGGTCAAAGGGGGGGCCACCCTCCTTGCCACTTAGCCCCCCTGTCGCCCCCCTTTGCCTCTAGCGTCCCTCTGCCGCCCCCCTTGCTGCTTACCGCCCCCCTAAGGCATCCCACCGCCCCCCAGGTGGCGGTACCGCCCACTTTGGCAACCACTGGCTTAACTACTTAACAACCAGTTCTACCAAAGTAGAATCCCACCACTGAGTCTACTCATTTATATTTGCAGGCACCGATCTACTCATTTGTTTTCTTTTAACACTGATCAGCTGTAGGGCGGCCCTTTGAAGCCCCGCGGCAAGAATTTAAACCGTTTTTTTCCTCTAGGCATCAGCTGGGACTCGGGAGGCAGCAATAGATTGGGAGTGGGTGGGGTAAGCGAACGGCCAGCGATCCAACAGAGCAGAGAGTGAGGGTGAGTGAAGGCGGGGGGGGGTGAGAGAGGGCTTTGGCGACCCCGTGAAATGGCCGTTCGACCCCCAAAGGGGTCGCGACCCTCAGGTTGAGAACCGCTGATCTAGGCTTTTAGATTTCCTGTATTGGCAAAAAGGAATATAGCACAAGAAGTAGAAAAAGAGCCATTTATTTTTTTTATTAGATTTCTATCCACCTTTAATATAGAAAATTAAGGTCCCATTTGTAGTGCTCTCTTCTTGTATTTGTTCCTACAGCAACTCTGTAGGTTGGTTTGAGAAATTGTTTCTAAGTTACCCAAGTAATAATTATTTTACAGATAGTTCACATCAGTCTAAATCGAGTGTCAAACTCAAGGCCTGGGGGCTGGATCCGGCCCGCGGGGTGCTTAGATCTTTCCCGCGGGGCCGCTCTGGAAACAGCAAAGGACTGGTGCCTTTGCCAGCAAAAATGGAGCTTGGGAAGGGTGCACGTGGATCCTCCCGAGCTCCATTTTCACTGGCAGAGGGCTGCAGGAGGTTGTCGCAGCCAAAACCAGAGCTTGGGAGGCTGTTTTTGCTGGCAGAGTGCTAGGGCCTCCACAGGTGCTCCTGACACGAGTGACATCTAGGTGGCCACGGCCACCCTGTGCCCCTGAGGTCAAACACAACCCTGATGCGGTCCTCAGTAAAATTGACTTTGACACCCCTGGTCTAAATGGTTTTTAGAGCAGGGGTCCCCAACCCCTGGTCCATGGACTGGCACCAGGCCACGGAATGTCAAGAAACCGGACTGTGCAAACAAATGAAACTCCATCCATGAGATTCAAGCAGCAGACAAAACCACGCCCCCTCCAATCCGTGGAAAAACCTCTATCCACAGAACTGGTCCCTGGTGCCAAAAAGGTTGGGGGCCACTGCTTTAGAGGATAGGATTAGTCATCACTGATAGGATTGGTGATTTTTGTCTGTACAAGTAGTCCTTGGCTTATGACCACAATTGAACCCAAAATTTCTGTTGCTAAATGAGACAGTTATTAAGTGAATTTTGCCTCACTTTACGACTTTTCTTGCCACAATTATTAAGTGAATCCTTGCAGTTAAAATTAGTAACAGGATTGTTAAGTGAATCTGGCTTCCCCATTGACTTTGCTTATTAGAAGATCACAAAAAGTGATCATTTGATTCCCAGGACACTGCAACCATCATAAATATGAGTCAGTTGCTAAGCATCTGAATTTTGACCATGGGTATGGTGCTACATTTGTAAGTGTGAAAAACTATCATAAGCCACTTTTTTCAATGCCATTGTAACTTTCAACAATCACTAAATGAAGTAAATCGAAGATTACCTGTATTACAACAAATTAAATGTGTTTTTAATATTATTGACTATTACTTGATTTATAAAAATATTGACAGTCAAACCACCTAAAATGTTCCTAGGATATAACTCTTTACAGATGATTGTTCTATTGATCTGGTTTTTGTTGTTGACTTTTCTTTTTTTGTTTATTAGTTAAATAATGAAAGATAGCAAGGAGCCATATTTTGTGAAGTTTGTAAAAACTCTGGAAAGTTCAGAGTGTTTTCTTCAAGCTCTTGAGGTATGCTTATTTAATGTGTTTAAAACCATCTTGTAAATTAGTTGTAGTCACTAAATATGTTTTTTATAGCAGGAATTTCCTGTTACATCTCTCTCTGTTCCTTCATAATAACTAGACAGGAAGAATTTTGATACCTAGTTATGACTATCTTTGTCCCATTGATTTCAGTGGGTCTATCCTAAGTACAACTGAATTGAATCAATTGAGATTTGTATACTAAAATATAAAATAGCAATTTTGCATGAACAAGTATAAAGTGATTGTCTTTAGTTTTAAATATCATTTGTTAAATAAAGTTATATGCCTGAATGTTCTTGAAAGTTTGGATACAGTGAATTCTTGCTCTACTCAGCCAATGTCAATGAAAGAAAAGCTTTTTGTACAATTCTTTCTTTTCGTAAAAGCAAACCATAAGGCGGTAACTTGGGGACAGATAATTATGAACATGATCAATGTTCTCAGCAACGACTAAAATGCATTTATCTTTATTGAGAAAGCCTTAGAAATACCAGTTTCAACTTACTGCAAAAGCCTGCAGCATTTTTCACAGTATAGGAAAAATATTTCACTGACATGTTTCCTATTAAAAACTGTATTCTTTGAAAACAATTTTTCTACTTCCCTCAACATAAAACAACATTTAAAGTTAATTTTTATAGTAATAACATTAAAGCTTGGTTGGTCTAATTCAGTAATGGCGAACCTTTTAGACACCGAGTGCCCAAACTGCGTACGTGGGCATGCCCAAACTGAAAAGTGTGCATGAGTGCACTAACATGCACACGCATGTGCGGGCATGCGCAGCAAAGACCCAAAGACCAGCTGGCTGGTGGGAGGCTGGGCATCGCGGCAAGAGGTAAGATCTTTTTCTTTCGTAAGTTTCTGTTTTGTCATTTGCAGGGAAACAGAAGTTCAGGAAAGAAACGCCACAGAGTTCTGACCTGGGGCAACGGCATGCTTGCCAGCAGGGAGGGCTCTGCCATAGGTTCGCCATCACGGGTCTAGTTTGATCTAGTGATTAAGGCATCAGGCTAAAAAGCAAGAGACCATTAGTTCAATTCTCGCCTTGCCCATGAAAGCCAGCTGGGTAACCTTGAACCAATCACTCATTTTCAGCCCAACTCACCTCACAAGATTGTTGTTGTGGAGAAAATAGGTGGAGGAAGGTGTGTTAGATATGTGCACAGCCTTGAATCATTTGTAAAAATAATAAAGGGATAGAAATAAAATAAAATGAAAAATGTTCATGTTTACCATGCTGCACAAATCCAGTTTGGCTCTTGAGCTGCTAGAAATTGAATAGCAGTGCTTTTGAGAAAACAGTTTGGAAGTAAACGGAATGTTTTCTGTATTGAGTTATTTACTGCTTGTGTATTTTGCAGTCCATCAAAGAATTTCAGTCAGAAGAATGTCTTCAGATTCTTGATAAGGAAGCTGCACTTAGAATACAAGAGAATGACAAATCCCTTTATATATGTGATCAGTTTAGTGGCATTGTTTTTTATCATCTTCAAAAGGTTTGCATTTTTTTATATTATTATTCTTTGTCATATCTTGGTAAAGTGTACCTTTGAAAATTGTATAAAAAATGGAGCCGCCCTGAGTCTTCGGAGAGGGGCGGCATACAAATTGAATTAATAAAATAAATAATAAAATCAGTAGAGATATAAACACTGTGTCATCACTGGGAGACAAAATTGATGACACATAATCAGATGAATGACAATATACTGAATCTTGTTGATTCCATTTCTGTATTTGGCTATTTAAAAAATTACTAATAAATGATGATGTAGTATGGGTTAATTTTTTAGTGCCAATTTTTCCTTCCACCATATTTCTTTAAGAATGTGTATGTAGTTTGAGAGAAAAAGATGACTTAGAATTTATTGATCTTTTCAAAAATTGTCAGGTTATTTGCATGGATATTGTTTTAGATAATGTAAGTGGCTGGGAAATTGTTTTGTGAAAAAAGAGCCCTATTAATTTTTTTGCTTTATCTTTTTCAGCTTGGTTGTAGGATAGTGGGGCCACAGGTAGTTATCTACTGTATGCAGAATCAACGATGCGTTCCAAAGGCTGACCATCCAGTATTTAATATGACAATGGCTGATGTAACAATATCTTGTACAAGTCTTCCAAAGGAAACAAGGGTAAAATATTACATAAATAGGGAATTCAGATTCAGAGATGAGGTTTATCTTCTTAATGTTTATAAAATTATATTTGGCTTCTAGCCATGTTAATTATCAATTACCATATTTTTCAGTCTATAAGACGCACTCCACCCCCACCCCCGCCCCCGGTGGGTGGAAATGTCTGTCTGTCTTATAAAGCGAATGTTGCCGAAGCCCCACCCACCTGCCAGCCCGCACCCTTTGGCCTCTGCTTCCCAGCAATTTGCCTCCTTGCAGCAAACAGTTTCAGCACAGCCTGATTTAGCAGGAGCTGATTGGCAGTTGGATCTGCCTCCTGGAATACTGCCGATCAGCTATTCCAGGCTGCAGGGATCGCCCCTGCCTATTGCCACCTCCGCACGCCCCGTTTTTGGCCTCCGCACATCCCGTTTTTGGCTCAAAAATGGGATGCACGGAGGCCGAAAACCGGGCACGTGGAGACAGCGATAGGCGATGCAGCGATCCTCGCAACCTGGAACAGCTAATGGTATTCTGGGAGGCTGAGCCAACCGCCAATCAATTGCTCATGCTAAATCAGGCTGTGCTGAAGCTGACCAGGATGTTTACTGTTTGCTGCAAGGAGGCAAATTGCTGGGAGGCAGAGGCAGATTTTTTGTTTTGTTTTCCTCCCCAAAAGCTAGGTGCGTCTTGTAGTATCTTTATCTTTATCTTTCTTCTTTATTTGATTTATATACCGCCCTACTCCCGAAGGACTCAGGGCAGTGAACAGCCAAAACAGTAAAAATACATAAATACAAAATTTAAAAACAGAATAAAATCGAATTAGACAATTTGTCCCAGACAAATTAAAACACCCAAATCATTTAAAAACTGATTAAAATTTACATAATTAAAAAAGAGGGAAACGATTAGGCCAGGCCCGCCTGATGGAATAAAAAGGTCTTGAGAGCGCGGCGGAAGGTGCGCAGATCTGGGATCCTCCGTATCTCCGGGGGTAGCTCATTCCAGATAGTAGGTGCCCCCACAGAGAAGGCTCTCCCCCTAGGGGCCGCCAGTCAACATTGTTTGGCCGACGGCACCCGGAGGAGCCCCTCTCTATGAAAGCGTACCGGCCGGTGGGAGGCTATTGGTGGTAGTAGGCGGTCCCGTAAGTAACCAGGTCCTAAACCATGGAGCGCTCTAAAGGTGGTAACCAAAACCTTGAAGCGCACCCAGAAGACCACCGGGAGCCAGTGCAGCTCGCGCAGGAGAGGTATTACATGGGAACGCCATGTCACTCCCATTACCACCCGCGCGGCCGCACTCTGCGCCAGTTGGAGCCTCCGGTGCTCCTCAAGGGGAGCCCCATGTATAGAGCGTTACAATAGTCCAGGCGGGAACAGAGTGCAGAGCATCTTTAGTGCGAAAAATACAGTAAATGATAGAATAGGTACAGAAGCATACAATTCAAAATAAAAGGGATCAGATTTCTTTATTATTTTACCCAAAATACCTTCAACAGATGTTTAGTAACTTTAAAAACTCTTCAATCCTACTTTTACATGTAAGTTGTTTTAGAAATAAATTGCCTTAATATCGTTAAGGTATAACATGTTTGGTTAAAAGCATTTATTCTTGCTTTGGCAAGAGCAGGGTCATTTTTAAGTGATATTTCAAATATTTCAAGATATTTTTTCTTCTCAGTCCTAAATTACTTATTCTCAGCAAGTTCTTTTACTGTTTATATAATCTTCTGAAGTTTTACAACTTTTCTGAATCTTCTCAAATTTATCAGTGTAAATATAAATGGGCAATAGAACACTCTTTGTTGATTTATTTACACTTCTATGAAAATTATTAAAATGTGGCATTGTTTATATTTAAAATAACTACATATTATTTGATTCGTACTTTTATCTACTAGTGAGTTTTTTTCTATAGGAGGAAGTCCATGAATATGTACAGTTGATGGGTGGTCGTGTATACAGAGATCTTAATGTGTTAGTAACCCACCTTATAGCTGGAGAAGTTGGAAGCAAGAAATACTTAGTTGCTGCTAATTTAAAAAAACCCATTTTGCTTCCCACTTGGGTAAAAACACTATGGGATAAATCACAGCGCAGGTAAGATAATTGTCTATGCATTTGGATTACCTGAACAATTCTGACCTGCAATATTTCTTAACAAAGAATTAACATTCTTGTTGCAAAAGGTTCATGCTTTAATGAGAAATTCTACAAAGAAAAAAACCTGTTGATGGGGAAAATATAAAAATGTAAGAATGATATCCTTAACATCCACATTTATACAACCAAATTGGTTCTTTTCAGTTATTTATATAGAATTCTTATTGTCCTGGATCAAAATTTAATCAAATTTTGAATAAACCCATTAGAATAAGCACATCTCAAGCCAGACCAAACATATGTTTGAGTGCAAGCTCCAGTGTCACTCCAAAAATTCCCAACAAATTCTTATTTTTAATGAGACAGAAGGGACAATTATATATGTATGGAATAATTGTATTAACTGTAATGTAATTATATATTTTTTTCTGTGTGCCTTGAGACAGCCTTGTTCAGCCAGTTGCAAGTAGTTAAGCCCCTGCAACATTTAGCAATGCTTTTGGAAGTGGTTTGTTCATGCCTTCTTCCTAAGGATGAGAGAAAATAACCGGCCCAAAGTCACTCAGGTGTCTTTATGCCTAAGGCAGGACTAAATTCAAAGGCTCTCAGGTTGTAATTTGAGGCCTCAATCACAGCACCAAATTGGCTGTCAATTTAATTTATATCAAGCTTATTCCTGGTCCTAGCCTTATGTAACTTTTGGACTGTGGCTCCAAAACCCCCCCACTTCAGTTAAAATCAGAGTAGCACACCTCTGAATTAGATGCATTAACATCATTGTGTACTCATATAAGTCTGCATTCACCACTGATTTTCCAAAGAATGATCAAGTGATATAATTATTCTTGTTTTCAAAAGGATCACTAGATACACAGATGTAAATATGGGAGAGTTTCTGTGTCCTCCATTTCTTGGCTGTACAATCTGCGTAACTGGTTTAAGCAGCATGGATAGACAAGAAGTCCAGCGTCTCACCACTGAGAATGGTGGTAAATATACAGGGCAACTGAAGATGAATGAATGTACCCATCTTATTGTTCAAGAAACAAAAGGTAAAAAGCAAATCTTTGAATTTCTGTTTAGGTTGAGTTCAAGAGGAGTATTTGTGTAAATATTTGCAGATTGAAAATCGGATTTCACTTTGTACTAGGCTTAAATTTCGAACATAGAATGTATCCTCATATTATTTTCTGATGGATTTGCTGCAAACAATATTATTATGTTAGTGATATTTTTGTGTAATACTTCAACTGACAATATACAGTTTTTTATGGCAATGAAAATAAAAATATTTTAAACTTAATTTAGAATTCCTCAAATATAATTTTAATTTTTCTCCACTGTCTTTATGTTAAGGTTACACTTCTGAATTTCATGTGACCTTCTGCCCATTTTCTCTGCATTTAGTAAAAGGATTTTGATATTTAGGGAAAGAGAAAGTGTCTATAACAAAACTAGATTTATTTTAAAATATATTTCATATATTCTTTTAGAATAAATCCCTCCAAATCATGCAATACAATTTGGAAGCATAATACATAAACACAAGGTTAAAAATAATAATAAAAGCAATGATAAAATACTTAACCAGAAGGCTTCATACATGGAATAGTCAGGTACAGTGCTAAACACAATTATAGACCAATATAAAGGGGTAAATCCTAACCCTAACTCTCTTTACAATTTTCTTGGAAGCTGTAATGAAGAGATGTGGCAGATGCACTGTATAAGAATGGCAGACTATATCTAACAAAGTCCTATTCTTTATGCCTATTTGTATTATAGGTAACACATATGGAGGCTGGTCACTGATTGTAATAAGTATCTCATTAATTGTAAGGAAGGCTTGCAAGTATTATGATGGAATAGATGTTTTAGGTAACTCAAGCTAAAAGTGCTCAGAACTTTAAAAGTTGCCGCCAGCATTTTAAATCAAATCTGAAAACACCAGTGAGCAGTGTATCTGATTACAATTCTCAAGAATAGTGATTGTTTTCTATACAGGCTTAAATTTCTGAATCATTTTTAAAGGAAAACTTTAAAGGATGAATACATTGTAGTTAACTTAGTCTAGATAGAAAAAAAAAAGTTAAGTTTTCCTCTTGAGATAAGGCTGCACATTAGGCTATTGAAAAAAGTAGTTATTGACATTTCTTCTCCAGAGTTTTTTTTATAGTGCAGGTTCTTTGTATAAGAACAGTGGCAATTTTGAATAACAGCCTGCAAAATTGAAATGATAGGCTATGGTACCTGATTTTTTTATGTTTATTTAGCAAATCATATTGATCTGAATATGCTAATCAGCAAATTAATACTGTAACCTAAAAAGTCAAAGCTGTCTGACCTTGCATCCAGACCTCACATTTGGCAAATGGAAAAAGTCTTTTCATCTGCAACTTAAAAATCTATTTTGAATGGTTGGAAACTTTCCTTAATGAGGGGAAGGAAGGGAGCAAGATTTATACATACAAATAGAAAATTTCCCTTTATGTTGCTGAAAGTGTTCAGAGAGCAAATTCACACAGGTGATTTTCCTATCAGTAATTTGTGGATCCAATCCCATATTTTTTCTACTTACTGAATTAAATTAATTGTAAGGGTGATTTCATGGACATGTTTGAATTTTTGAGTTTAGGTATATAAAATGTAAAACCAGACAGAAAATAACTTTGAGCCTCATTGGCTGTTATCTCATGACATTTTATTGATGCAGCACAAAGGGCTTAATAGAGAGGCATTCTCTACTAACGATATATAGCATTAGCCAGCCACTGATGTTGCAGTATAAAGTCTCTTTTTGTTAGTAATGTATTACCATTGTGATGACCTAATTATACATAATTGCATATGCAAAAAGGTTCACACATAGCTATATTGTATTGGGTCAATGTATAGCTAAGGGATCATTTTTATAAGGAAAATGTAAGCACTTTATGTTTCAATGTAGTCTAAAAAATAAGTTTGTGAGTGCAGTCTCAAGTTGATTTTTAAAAGTATATAGAATAAGGTCTGTAGCATTTTAGCTAATAAGTACAGTTGGTAGTTTTAGAGTAAGGAGTCTTTCTTTATTCCAAACTGCCTGCTACAGTGTTGTTCTGTAGATAGTTACAGAATAAATTGGAGCAAAAAGATTTAGTATATTTATTTAAGAAAATGTCTAGAAAATGTCTACAAAGCTTGCTTTGTACATTTATGCTCATGCAGTTTACAGGCTTCAGAAGAATTGAAACGGTATTATTTATTATGATTTTGTCTCTTCTTGGGAAAGGCCAGAAATACGAATGTGCAAAAAGGTGGAATGTTCATTGTATATCCATGCAGTGGTTTTTTGACAGCATTGAAAAGAGATTTTGCCAGGATGAATCAATGTATTTGATAGTTCCTAGCACAAAGCAAGATAGTGCACCAAGCACTTCAACTCCTACGAGTCAAGCTAGCAAGCCAGACAGTAAGTAATACATAAAGGGACAGATTTCCTATATTATCTAGATTACTTGTATAATTATTAACTGATTTAAGATTGCATAATTTACTTTTATTATTTATTTATTTATTCATTTGTTTGTTTTTAGGAATGTACTGGCCCATAAATATTTTGAAGGCCTGAATTCTATTGTGACTGTTTACTTTGGGATGCTCTCCTCAGATTATTTTTGTTATATTTTTAAGTAGAAGAAATGAGTCTTATAACAAAATACAGGTAGTTTTTGACATATAAATATCTCAGTATCTGCACATGTGATCAAATTTCAGGTACTTGGTATGTATTTACGTCAGTTGCAGTGTCCTGGGATCGTGTGATTGCCTTTTGTGACTTTCCGACAAGCAAAGTCAACAGCAAAGCCAGATTTGCTTAACAACTGCAAGTGATCCACTTAATAACCATGGCAAAAAAAGATCATAAAATTGGGTGGGATTCACTTAAAAACTGCTTTGCTTAACAACAAAAATTATGGTCTTAATTGTGATCATAAATCAATTACCTGTATTATATATCAACTTCTCCTTTATAGCCATCCCCTTAAGAAAATATTCTGACCACTTTTCAGCTCTTCTCCCAAGCTGCAGCTTTCTATGGCTACTGAGCATGTTCAGTCCTCCTTGATGAGTGCTGAGTATGATAGTTTTGCTTTAAAAATAATTGTAAAAATAATTATATGCAGATACCATAATAATTTATATAATAAGCTGAACCATGGTAAGACTGAGGGACTTTGGATGCATGACAATTTAGGATTCTGGACTTTAGCATCTTCAATTCTGGATGGGGTTGAACTGCCCTAGGCAGGTCAGGAATCTTGGGGTTTTCCTGGATTTGAAACTCCTATTCAAAAGCATGTGGCAGTCATGGCAGAAAAGAGCCTTTGCACAACTGTGTGTTATGTGCCAGTTGTGCTCTTTCTTGCTTTGGAAATCTCTGTACTTAGTTACTGAAGCCTTGATCATCTTACACTTGGACTATTGAAGCTTGCTCTACATGGGGTTATCCTTGAGAAATATTTGGAATCTACAATTCACATAGAGTGCAACTGCATGGACAATTCTTGAAGTCCCTAGGGTGGCCCGTGTTATACTGCTGTTGCACAAATTTCACTGGTTGTCAGTTTGCTTCCGGATCCAATCCAAGGAGTTGGTTCTTATCTTTAAAGCCCTTTCTGGCCTGGGTCCACTTATCTGAGAAACCATCTCTCCCCAATAGGATTGGCTCACCCCATTCATGCCAGCAGAAGGGACATTCTGTGCACCCTGTTGGTCAAGGAATTCCAACTGGCAGGGTCTAAGAGAACCTTTTCTGCCATGGCTTCTGCTTTTGGAACATTGTGCCAAAGTGAGATCTGCACTCATTCTTTTGGCCTTTTGAAAGGACCTAAAGACCTGACTCTGCCAACAAATCTGAGGTTTCAATGGGGGTATATCATTCTGGATGTGGTTAAAGGGCTAAAATAAGACCCCACTTCCTCCCCATGTGCATCTTGCTCCTTTCACATCTTTATTAATTTTAAGATAATTTATTGTTTCTATTTATTGCTTTAATATTTCATATAGTTGCCTTTACTGATTATAAGTCACTAAAGTTGTCTCTAGGTGATATAGGCAGCATATAAATTAAATAAGGCTGAGACTTAAACTTCCAGCGCCTTCGGAAGCGAGATCCATAACCTCCACAGGTCCGTTCTGAGCTCTCCCTGTCGGGGGCTTCATTTGAAGCCATAGCCACCTTGTAGGGGTGGTGAAGTACATTGAGGGGAGCTGCATCTCCCCTCCCTGACTTGGAAAACCCTCTCATCCAAAGACTAGGAGCAGCGGCAGTTAAAATGGCTGCCATGAAGCCAGAGAACAGCCAGAAAAGTGTGTGCAGGAGCAGAGAAACGGTGAATGGTGTGTCGTCTGGGTAAGAAAAGATTTACAGCTGGAGTCGGACCCCAACATTTTTTAAGGGGAATACCTTTTAGAACAATTTGTTACAGCGGCATGTAACTATTGTAAAAAAGCATATTGGAAATTTAAAGAAGTAAATATTTGTTTAAAAAGAAAATTAAGTTGGAAATGGAATCCCCAAAACAAAAGGCGTGATATTAAGAAGGCATATTAAGATGCTGGAACTATAAACCTACCTTTTCTTCAAATAATTTGCCATCAGTAATGGAGTTATAAGTTAAACTAAGCAAGATAAATAAATTGGACTTGTCAAAATAAAAGTAGAGCGGCAACAGAGTCAAAATAAAAGCAGAGAGGCAGCAGAGTGAAGTAAAGAGCGCCATCTGCTGATGACAGTGAATTTTTGCAACTTGGGAGTAAATATTGAAATGAAGAGAAATAACTGTTGAACTATACATATTTACCTTCTAACCACTGGAATATTAAAAAAGAATTTGTATCTGGGGGCCCCTAAATACTATTGAATATACAAAAACGACTTGAGGAGTGGAGGATCCCTGAAGTAACTAACTGATTTGACTCATCAATATGAGTCATTTAAATTTGACTTGAAGGTTTGGTTTCTGAACTGACAACTGTGGAGACTCAAACGAAATGGAGTTAATGATTCAAAACATTAAGGACATTAGGGACCTTATCCTGGAACTACACAAGGACATGGTGGAAATATTTGATCGTATAAATAGAAGACAGGAAAATTTTATACAAGAGACAAGGAGTAAAGACCAGGACAAGAAGGAAAGAATGGAATCATCAGCTGGAACAGAAGGGGAATTAGAACTGAGAAACCAACAAAAAGAAAATAACAAGGAGGAGACACTATTAAAATTAATTAGAATTGCTTAATTAAAACTGGGAAAACATTTTAAAAGATTTTAAAAAGAAATGGGAGGAACGGGAAGAGGTTTGGAGGGAAACGATAGGATTTAGAGCAGAAAGCTTTCAAATTAAACAGTGGCAAAAGACAGGGCAAGGAGAAAAAATTAAATTATGGATTCAAAGTAGATGGAATAAAAGGCTTGTATTCAGACGGTATGCTGTTTGATCAATGAAATGATGTTAGTATTAAAAGAATAATACTGTAGTTGCATATACCGTATATATATGATTAGAATGATGTGTGTAAAATTATTAACATGAAGATTAATCAATATGATAATTATGATTATTATTATCAATAACATGTTTAAGTGACTAAGTCTGTTTCTTTTATTTTTGAATGTAATTTTAAGAAGTTGTATAGTTATAAAGAGATATTAATTGGAAAATACACCATATCCTGTAGGTATTGAGAATATTATATAAAACAACGAAAAGAGAGAGGGAAATGGAGTGGAGTGGAAGGGAGTAGGAACGGAGGGGAGAAAGAGTAAGGGAGAGAGGGGAAAGGAGAGAGGGAAGTGGAGGGGAGGAAAACAGTAGAAAGGGTGTCAGCTTTGGAAGCCATATTAGGCCGGAAGCTTCAATGCTGCCACCTTCTCATGTGTGGGAAAGTAGGAGGGGGGATTAAGGAGGGGGGTTGTTAGTAGACATAATAGCATTCTTCCCGTCGGTCAAGGTCAGGGCGATCCAGCATCTGGAGGAGGAGTGGTCAGGGGGCTGAGTTGAGATGGAACGGATGTTGATTGGGGCATGTGATCGACTGGGGAGAAAGGGGATGGTTTTGGGAGCTTCCCAGCTTTTACTGGGAAAACCCGGGCTTTTTAGATTCGGGTTTTCCTGGATGTGCCAGTTTGCCTATTCTAGTAAAAAGAACTTTGGAAAAAAGCTGGCTTCCGTGTCTTTACTTGGAGTTGGGGTTTTTCTGGAATGCTGACATTAACCCGAATCTCCTTTAAAGCCTAACGGCACCCCGTAAGGGGGCTGTCGGGGTGCTGAGCCTCAGCATCTACCTAAACCCTGGGTGGTGCGAAGACTCAGTGAAGATGGGAGGAGAGAGGAGTCATGATTCTTGACTAGGGGGCCACTTTGGATTTTTAAAAACCCTCTATTTCACTAGGAGACAATTCTGGTGGCCAAAGATGAAAGCTGATGTGGAAGACTATATGAGGAGCTGCGCCACCTGCACCACCATGAAATCCAGACCAGGAAAGCCCCCTGGACTTCTCCAGGCTGTGGCCGAACCCACCAAGCCCTGGGAGGAGATTGCGATGGACTTCATAGTTGAACTCCCTGACAGTGGGGGGGTAACAGGGTTATTTGGACTGTCATTGATTTATTCTCCAAGCAAGCACACTTCACTGCCTGCAACAGACTACCCTCGGCCAAGAAGCTGGCAAAGCTGTTTGTGAAACACATCTACAGGCTACATGGAGTCCCAAGGAGAATAATATCGGATCGTGGGGTCCAGTTTATTGCTAAGTTCTGGAGAGAGTTCTACGATTCATTGGGTCCTCCCAGGGGTTTAGCTCAACTTTTCACCCATCACTTAACGGATTGGCTGAAAAATTGAACTCAGTGGTGGAGCAATACTTAGGTGTTATGTAAATTATGAACAGGAAAACTGGGCGGACTTGCTACCACTCACAGAGGTGGCTTATAATAATGCAGTACACAGCAGTACTGGGTTGACTCCTTTTCAGATAACAACGGGCATGGATTTTGTGCCGATGCCTGAGTTACCTAGAGAGCCGCCCACTTCTATGTCCCTAACGGAATGGATAACCTCGTTGAAAAAGGGTTGGGAGAATACTAAGAAAGCTTTAGCTGAATCAGCAGAAAGATATAAGGCCCAGGCTGACAAACGCCAGTTCCTCCAACCACCTTTCCAAATAGGCGATAAGGTGTATTTGTCAACCAAGTACCTAAGATTGAGGTTACCCAGCAAGAAGTTTGGACCTAAATTTGTAGGTCCCTTCCCTATAGTGAAATTTATTAACCCAGTGACTGTCCAACTTAGCCTCCCTCACATATTAGAGAAAGTACACCCCGTTTTCCACAGTAGCTTATTGAGACCGGCCAGAGAATCTAACCTAAGACCCTTGCCAGCTGCTCCACCCACCCCCCTTTGGTAGTGCAAGGGGAGACTCATTATTAGGTGAAGAAAATCCTGGACTCTAGACTCTACAGGTGTCCCTTACAATATTTGGTACATTGGAAAGGTTACCCTTTAGCTGAAGCTACTTGGGTGAAGAGTTGGGATGTAAATGCTGATACTCTAGTGCAGGGGTCAGCAATCTGCGGCTTTGGAGCCACATGTGGCTCTTTCATCCCTCTGCTGTGGCTCCCTGTCACTCAAAATATGTGACACAACCCCCAATGTGCGATACCCACCGGCATGCAATTTATTGAGCTTTTCAACCCCCAGTAGGCCAACCATGGATAAATCCAAGAAAAGAAAAGTTTCAGAACATTTAATTCAACTACATATACTAGTTTTGTGGCCGCTCAAGAAATAGTCAGGCACGGGGAGGGTTTTGTGGCTCCTGGTGTTTTCTTTTCTGTGGGAAATAGGTCCAAATGGCTCTTTGAGTGTTTAAGGTTGCAGACCCCTGCTCTAGTGAAACAATTTCATGATAAATTTCCTGAGAAACTGAAAGGTCCCCCTGCCAGGGGGGAAAGGGGGTTAAGGGGTCTTGTGCACTGTGTTACCCCCTTTTTTTGTGTTTTGTCTGCTTTATTTTTGAGGATGTGGTTCTTTCTGCAGAGGGGGGGACGCCTGTCAGCTTTGGAAGCCATATTAGGCCAGAAGCTTCAATGCTGTCACCTCTCTCGTGTGTGGGAAAGTAGGAGGGGGGTTGTTAGTAGCATTCTACCAACATTCTTCCTGTTGGTCAAGGTCAGGAAGATCCAGCATCTGGAGGAGGAGTTGTCAGGGGGCTGGGTCGAGATGGAACGGATGTTGATTGGAGCATGTGATCGACTGGGGAGAAGGGGGATTGTTTTGGGAGCTTTGACTTACTGAAGGAAAACCCGGATTTTTTAGATTCAGGTTTCCCCAGATGTGCCAGTTTGCCTATTCTAGTAAAGAGAACTTTGGAAAAATGCTTGCTTCTGCGTCTTTGCTTGGAGTTGGGGTTTTTCTGGAACGCTGACAAAGGGAAGGAGAGGGAAGCAGAGAAGAAGAGAGGGAAAATAGGGGAGAGGAGAAGGAGAGAGAGAAGGAGGGGGAAAAGAGCAGAAGGAAGGAGATAAGTAGAGAGAGGGGAGAAGAGAGAGGAATGAGAAAGAAGAGGAAAGGAGATGGATTGTTGTAAAATTGGGTGAAATATGGAGAAAAGAAAACAAACGGGCAATTTCGTATTTTTTCTACTTGAGGGTTATACTATTGAAATTATAATGAAAGATAATAGGGTGGACGTTAAAGCATATCGGTTTAGATGTTATTGCATACTTGTTAATATTTATATGAAAATAAAAATTTTGTGTAAAAGATAGGGGTAAATAATACGAAATAAGGAAAATGGAATGTAATAATTATGAATATGTTTATTTGTATTGAAATGTATGATAAACACCACACCATACACATAATGATATGTATAAATTTTTAAAAAGTAAAAACTTGATGGAAAATAAATTAAATAAGGCTGTACATGATTTTTGAAAAGGGGGTGCATCATGGGGAAATGCATTTGAAAACCTATTCAAATAAATAAAGCAACTGTATCTTTTTGCACTCATATGTGCTCCAAGAGATAAATTTGTTTTATTGATTTGAAAAGAGGTGTTTTAGACAGGCTCTACGACAACTCGCTGCAGCCAACTCACTATGGCCAACACACCACGAGACAAGAATTACACTAATATTGAAAAAATAGGGAAATAGAATCAATAAAGAAAGGATACCAAAGGTGGGACAATATGAAATGTAAATGACAAAAATTAAAATATTTTAAAATTATTTTAAATGATTAAATTGAATAGTTGTGCTGCAGTGAGTTATCCTGTGGCAAGTTGGCAATAGTGAGTTGGCCGTGGTGAGTTGACCATGGCGATTTGGCCATGGTGAGTTGGCTGCAGCAAGTTGTCCCATTCCATTTCAGACATGCTCCTACAAATTGCAAAGTGTATCTTTCAAAAGGTTTGAAGAATTCTGCTGAATAGCAAGATGAGTTACTTGATTCAGTAGCTGTGATTGAACTACATTTTCCAGTATCTTTGTTCATTATTTTTCACTTCTATGTCCACAATTCTATCAAAACCAATATGAAAAAGAAGTTTTTATTGAAGACAAATGGTTATCTTTTCAGTGAAGGAAATTACGTGTAGAACTATGAAAAGCGTGTTTTACAAAATATGTTTATGACAATATATGAAATCATTACAGTGAAATTCTATGAATGACATTCTATCTCTTCTTGAGGGCTAATATAAGAGTTGTTGGATTAAACTGGGGAGACCATGGAAACTACAGGATGCTAGTTTCTTTCTCGGGAAAACTACTAACGACAGGATTGTTGTTACGGAATTAAATAAAAATAGGTTTAATATAAGCTATCTTAAAATAAGTAAGAAATTCATATTTTTTTCTCTTTCAGTGTCTCTCTCTTTCCCTTTGGCAGTATTTCCTACAAATAATATTCATAACCTGAAATAATGTGTCCTGAATAATGAATAAGCCATTACTTTGTAAGCATTAGAAAATACTAAGCACTTTTTTGCATACATTGATAGCAAACCATGTTGTACTTAGCATAACAGAAGGAAGAAATTAATTAATGGAGACTGAAAGTTAACTAATGTTCAGTATGATTTTTATTCTTGCTTAATCTTCTATGAAATGAGAAAGTGTTGTAGCTGATATATTGATGCAATTTTCCAAAATCATTGATATATAACTTTTTCATCTGAATTTTATTTAAAGGTCGAACACTTTCGGATGTTAGTCATATTTCAAATATCAACTTAAGTGACATAAATGAAACATCATGTAGTTCTGTTTTGAATAGCAGACTGGATCCTTTGCCTGATGAGCTGAACAACTTGAATATTAGTTCTTTGCAAGCACGTGAGGATTTACTGGATGGATGCCGAGTATGTTTAATAGTGCATGTTCAATTGTAAAATTACCCAGATAATTCTATAGATTTTAGAATTTATGAAATTATATTGTTCATGAATGTAACTAAGCAGAATCTGATGTTTCACCTTTGAATAATCTGTTAAAAGCAATTGTCCATTATTATTGCACCTCGGATTGAAAAAAGGAAGGCAAAAGCCATTATTTACAAACTCTGTTAAATTATTTTCTTTCCCCATGGAACTGAATTAAGTAACATTTTAATACAATACCTCATTGATAATAGAGGAAACTAAAAACGATCAATAATAGGAACATACTGAAGAAATGCTGAATACTGAGTTGTGCTAGTACCAGAGTAATATATAGTAAATAGTAATGAACTATGACAGCCAGTTTAGTATAGTGGTTATGGAATCAGGTTAGAAATTGGGAGACTGAGTTATATTCCTTCCTGAGGCACATAGCAAATTCGATTACATTGAGCCAGTGACTTTTTCTCAATCGTGGGAATGAGACAATGACAAATCACTTTTGACAAAACAGATATGATTGAATGGAAGAAAAAAACTATACTACAATGAACAATACTATAATGCTATAGATAAAATTTGAATGATGCTGTAACTGAAAGGAAGTGGAATCAATGTTCTCTAAGTGTGAGGTGTGCTCCTTGTTTGTTTATTATTTGATAAATCTATATGGCCATCTAACTCACGGTGATTATGTATAGTAGCTTGCCCTGCCAGTATATATGGGGAGTATGGTTTTCTTCTTGCTAGTTTCTGGATTAGGATATTGTTCAAATCTTGACTACAGGTAATTAATGAATTTTTCTTGTGTCTTCTGACTGCTAGTTGGTATGAATGCACTCTGCTTGTCTTCTGCCTATATGTCCTATTTAATGGCTATTACAGTCCTTACATTCTGTGATATGCATGGCTCCTATTTTGTTGTTGTTGTTGTTGTTGTTGTTGTTGTTGTTGTTGTTGGATTAGTGCAAGGCTGTCACACTCAATTGCATCGGGTTGGATCATGATGTATTGTGACATTTTTTTGCCTTTGCGGAAGCTGGAGTGGGCTGCCAGTTTGACATGCCTGGATTAGTGGATCTTTTGGTTTGCTTAAATTGTTTTGGAAGGCTTTAGTTGGTTTGTGTTCTAAGAAAATGCTGTGTGGTTGTAATAGCTTGTTGGTTGTTTCTGAGATATTTTCGATATATGGTGGTAGCATCCTTTATATATAGTAGAGTTATTGGTTTTCAAAAGTAAAACTTGAAATACAAAATTACCATAAAAAGGAAAAATTTGGAAGCTGCACAATGAGGAATATTTAAAAACTGGCACACAAAAACACAAAAACAACATAGCAAAAAATAACTTCCAATCCTCTTAGGAATGGATACATGATAAAGTACTCTTTTGTTTTAATTTAACGAAAAACAAATAAAAAATTAAATATGAAAAGTATACATCCCAAACAATCAAATAATGACATCAATATATAATATAAACTTTAATTCTAAATAAAACATATAATCCATTAATGCATCATAAGAACAATCCCACACATATTTCTTAAATGTTTATTAAACATCTTCTGTTCATTTGTTTAAGTTTAACATCATTTGTTTAAGTTTAAACAAATAAGAACATAAAGTGTATACTTACTAAACTTAATCAATACCCAATATTTCTATAACTAATCTAGTCATTAAACCCCAAAATCTGAGTTCATTTTTTCTTTATCAAGTAAAAAGTCCAAAAGTGGTCTTCATATAGAAAAAAAAGTAGCCAATGTTTTATCTCAAAGCATTAACTGTCAATTCTCTTCTAATAAAGGCTTTCTGTGATGATGATCGTAGAGGAACTATCTGAAACTTTGCCTATGGAGATTCTCAGTCATCCATGCTTGTCCCAAAGATGCTTTTTCCTATGATGTGACTTTCCTTTTCACCTGCATTCTGAAGCTGTCATGGTAATGAAAAATGACTGCTACAAGACATCACCTTGGGTGACAGAACCAACCTCAGCCCAGACCACATATGTGTCATGCTGGACCTCTGCTTGATTACTACCTATTTTAAATTCAATGAAGGTTTCTACAGACAAAAACATGGCTGTGACATGGGTTCACTGTGTTCCCCATTGTGTCCAATCTCTACACGGAAGAGGTAGAAATCAAAGCTCTACACTCCTTCACAGGAATTCCATCCATTCACTGGTATAGGTAGTGGATGATACTTGGGTCAAGATCAAAACACAGGAATTGGAAGTGTTTAGTACACGTTAAGGAAGAAAGAAGCCTTAACATTGAAGTTTATAGAAAACCGACATACAGATCAATATTTTCATTTGATTCCCACCACCCACTGGAGCCCAAAATGGAAGTCATCAGAACCCTACCCCACCGAGCTGAAGGCCTGGCTACCAGCAAAGATGGAAATGAAAAAGAACTAAAACACATTAAGGAAGCCCTCAGACCATGTGGCTATCCCAAGTGGGCCTTCATCAAATCTCAAAAAAGACCCTACAGGAGCTCCTCCATAACAGACAACGAAAAGAACAATAAACAAAAGCATTCCATAGGTTGCAGGAATATCGGAAAAGCTAGAAGGCTCTTTGGCTAACACAATATACATGCACACTTCAAACCCAAGAATACATTAAGGCAGAAGCTTGTCCACCCCAAGGATAAAACACCCAGACATAAACTGAGCAATGTGATATATGCATACAATGCAGTGAGCTATGTGCAGATCTGTACATTGGGGGGGAAAAAACAACCACTTCATAAATACATGGCACAACATAGGAGAACAAAACCATCAGGACAAGATTCAACAATCCACCTGCATTTAAAAGACAAAAGCCGCTCTTGAAGATAGCAAAGTCCTCATTTTGGACAGAGGACCGTTCGTTTGAAAGAGAGGTCAAAGAGGCCATCTATGTCAAAACTGAACAGCCCTCTCTCAACAGAGGGAGAGGGATATGACATCATCTATCTCTAGTCTACAACGCAGTCCTCTCCAGTTCCAAGAAGGTTTCATATGCATTTGTACCACTCAGGTGATTGATGACATAGATAAATCTCCAGGTGGCCTTAATGACTCACTAAAAGCATGTAAATGACCAGCTGTCTGCAAGGGAGTATAAATCCTTCTATTCCCCACCATCCAACCAGAGCTGAAGAAGCTTCTTGGATGAGGAGCAACACATCTTCAAAGAAAAACCAGAAAGTCCAGTTGCCTCTTGAAAAAGCACCTTTGGAACTTTCAAAACATTTTTGCTTTGTATCTCTTCCAAATTCTCAGGATGGCAAGACCAACAAAGTGATTCTTAAAATCTTAAAATGAACTTTAACTTTATCATACCTTAAGCAGGTGTGCCAGGGTTATCCTTTTCATATATTGGATGTACTACAGTGCATTGAGTGATTAGGCACTTTTTGATAAAGTTGCATGGGTATTCATTTTATTGGAAGATACTGATATTGTATAGGTTGTCTGTTTCATTTTTCCAATTGCAGTGTGTTTATATACATCAGAATAATGTTCTTGCACGTCTCCTGTGGAGTTATGTTGTTACTTTGGTAATGGACCACTTGCTTACTCTTGGTGGTTTTTTTTATTTTTATTTGTGTTTCTAATTTGCTGTTTCTTCTGATGAAGAAAAGGATTTTCAGAAAGGATAGTGGAATATTGTTTTCATGTTTCCTTGTGCATTTTATTCCTTTCAGTATATTAATTTATTGTTTTTATGTTACATCTTTAGTGTTTCTTTTTTATTATGGTGAAGGTGTCAGTTACATACTGGATGATATTTTTGATTTTATATGTGAGAGTGCTATAGTTTTTAGATGTTGCATTATGAGCTCTGCTATGAGTCCTGAGAATGATAATCTCATCGGTGTTCCTCTGATTTGTTGGTATATTTGTCCATCAAACTGCAAATAGGTAGCGAGGAAGAGATTGATAACATTCATGATTCTGGGTATTTCAGTCTTAATGAATTAGGCTAGGTTGTGTTGTGTAGTACTGCTGCATAGATTAGTTCTGAATCTATGGACGTAAAATGTGTTGTGACATTGAATGAAATCATAATTTAATTTTCTTTTTTTAAAGATCCTTAATTATCTGGAGGCACTGTAGGGGGGAATTGATAGAATGTTCACTTTCTTCTGTGCAGTGTCCAAATTCCTTTATAAGTTCTTTGGCTATGTTGTATGTTGGGGGCTTTGATAATGATACAGTTAGACAAAGAGATATGTCAGTCTTCTATTTTTGGGTGTCCATAGAAGCTTGGGAGGATGAGTCCACTAATTTCACCCACCACTTCTATTGACCTTTCTTGATTGTAGTGTTCCTCGTCTCTTGAGGGGATGTCCAGTTTTTGTAATGGATTGTGTTTACTGGGATGAAGGTTTCTTTGTCTTCTAGTAATTCTTTGACTTTTGTGTAAATTATGTTCTGTCCGTGATAGCCATCGTTTGATTTTTGCAAGCAAACAACCAAGGACTCCACAGTTCATCCCTGAGTTACTTTTTTCTATTGAATATGGAGTGTCTAATCTGTCTTAAATAGTGCACTTATATTAGTTCAAATATTTTTCTGCTTTTCTTTTAGATTTATCTTTGTGGCTTTAGTGCTAGAAAATTAGATAAAATGAAAAAGCTGATTAACTCTGGTGGTGCTGTTCGTTTTAATCAACTAAATGAAGATGTGACACATGTTATTGTGGGGGATTGTGATAATGAATTAAAACAATTTTTGAAGAAGACAGAACGGAGGTATTGATAACTAGTTTTAAGATTTACTGGCATTTTTTAAAACTAAAATTTTTGTAAATATTCAGCATGTTAAAATAGAGTTTATTGCAATTTTTATCATTTTCTCAAGAGTGGTGAGGATATTTATTAATTTTAAAAAACATTCTGGAATGAAATATTTAAAAGCAGGGGTGTGTGGATTGTGGCATATTTGAATCATTGGTTTGTGTCTTTAAAGCAATTCAATATATATATATATATATATATATATATATATATATATATATATATATATATATATATATATATATCTTTGAATTAGATTGCCAAATTGAATCAGTCCACCTCAAAAAGTGAATTTGATTTGAGAAAAATGGTGAATTGTTTCAGAAGTAATCAGTTCAATTTCCCAATACAATATAAAAAGTCAATTTTAAGATTTGATCAAATTGCTGTCAAAGCTCTGAATCAAATCTTTGTTCAACTTTATTAAAAAGATATAGAGAAAAGTAAAAATAATAATAAAAGAATTAAATTAAAGGATTCTCCATAACTGTGATCTCAAAAGTTGTAAACATCTAAGACAATTTCTATACAAAATAAGTTCAGAAATATAGATCATGATTAAATGTTGTGATACAGATATTTTCTCTGGGAAAATTACTGCTTCAAATGCACACAGTTAACAATGTCAGAAAGTGTGTACTTTAGACACAACTTTGTATTATGTGTTCTTAAGATGTTTAAAAACTTTGCTTTGGTTTCATAGGAGGTATAGAATGCTTTTCCTACATGATGTAATTCATAGTTTTTTTCAATATCAGGCCACATGCTGTGACAGTACAATGGATTTTGGAATGCTTTAAAAAAGGTTATTTAATACCTGAAGAGCAATATGCCCCTGCAAGTTATCAACAAGCGAATATTCCATCTTCTGAGCCGCCATTCATCTCCAAAAAAAATAATATGTTGAAGAAAGAACATGTAAATACTGTGGCGGCTGCAGATACTGATGAAGAATTGCTATCTCAGTATGTTACTCATGATTCCAAAGTCGGTAAGATACTAGTCCTGTGATGGCAAACCTATGGCACGCGTACCTGAAGTGGCATGGAGAGCCATGTCGCCTGGCATGTGCGGTGTCGCCCATTTGTCTTTTGGGTTTCCGGCGCACGCAAGTGCACCCGCCAACTAGTCTTCTGGTTATTGGAGCGCATGCACGCACGACGATCAGCTGGCCTTCATGCGTGCAGCAGAACCAGAAACCAGAAGATCAGCTGGTCGTCACACATGCATGCGCCCCAGTAACCGGAAGACTAGCTGGCCGGTGCACATGCGTGTGCCGGAAACCAGAAGTACATTTCCCAGAGCGTGCATACCCACTGGGGAGCTCCTCTTAGCGCACGTGTACACCGGCCATGCTGTCAACAACTACATGCAGTCCCAGGACATCCACCCCCTTGGCAGCCAGGAGCATTGCCGCCAGTCGCTCCCCTGCGCCTGTCTTGCCGCTGCCGCCAGGAAAGTCCCTGAAGCTGTGCTAAACCAGGATCCACCAGTGGGCTGCTGCAAGAGGAGGCCAGGCATTGCTGGCTTGCTGTCTGGACGCTGTCTGGATGCTGTCCGGAGCACGAGGCTGGCAGGAGAAGGAGGATCTGCTGCTCCCTCTTTGCCGCCGCAAAAGGCTTTCCGCCACAAAAGGCTTTTCCGGCAGAAAGCCTTTTGCACCGGCAAAGAGGCAGCTGGACGCTCTGGATGCTGGACGCTGCCCAGAGCATGAGCATGCTGGACTCTGCCCAGAGCATGAGGCTGGCAGGAGGAGGAGAAGCCGCCGCCGCCTCTGCAAAGAGGCTGCGTTAGCAGGCCGTTCATGCTGGCAAAGAGGCAGCCGCACCGGCAAAGCAGCGCTGCCTCTTTGCCGGTGTGAGCGGCCTCCAACCTGGATCCCGGGTTGCGCAACTTCGGGGTCTTTCCTGGCGGCCAGGCAGGCAGGCGCAGGGGAGCAACTGGCCAGAAGTAGCTGCCTGCCCTATTTTGGGTTCCAGGTTGGTGCAGGAGGCTTTCCAGGCCCAAAATGGGACTTGGGGAAGGCAAGGCGCATGCATGGGAGGACTGGGGCGCATGTGCGGGGGTGGTGGTGTCGGGGAGGATGGGGGGGTCGTGTGCGCATGCACATTGCATTATGGGTGCCGGCACATTGGCACACGATGACAAAAAGATTAGCCATCATTGTACTAGTCCATGAAAAGCAGGGAGATGGACAGGAAAGCAGGCATGCAGCAGACAGAATAAATAGATAATATTTTTATGGTCATCATCCAGTAAATATACTCCACCATCATCTGTTCTCTTTAATTTCTTCTTCAGTGCATATGCATGATCGTTATACTTACACTTGCCCTCTCTCTATTAGTAGCTCATAGTCTACATACAACTGTCCTAAATGTTCTTAAATGTTTTTTTATTTCTTGTACTCTATTTTTTCCTTTGATATTTGGGTAACCTTAGCTACTGTTCTTCAAGGATTTAATTTACAGCCTGCTATCTTTTTTGTGTAATTGTTGTCTTATCACCTTGCTTCTTGGACCATGTTGTTAGTTCTTTTCGCATATGGATTTTTTTCCTTACTACCTACTAGATTTTGTTTCTTCCATTCTCTTCTCTTATTGCAAAGCTCCCACATTTCTAAAAGTTTCATGATGTATTCAAACCAACTGATTTGTCAATTCCCAGATGTAACAGATTTCTCACATAGGTGATTGTTTAGCCATCTGTCCATACAAAGTGTGTATAATTCTTCCAGAATAGTTCACTAATATACTAAAAAAAGGAAATTAACATTTTATTTATCTTCTAGTTCATTTTGTTGACCACCCTGAAAATGATCATACTGTATTTCAAGATGGAAAAGAGGTCACAGTTAGATCCTTGGCTGAGTCTTCTTTAGTTGTTGAAGGAGCCTTATTCAGTGGAAAGAAGTTTCTCATTCTTGGTTTTGGCAAAGCAGATGAATCTTGCATAAGAGCTCTGATTGAAAAGAATGCTGGGAAGATTCTGCTCCAGGAAAAAAGAGTAATTGCTGATTATGCTGTGGTTCCTCTTCTGGGAAACAAAGTCATATCAACTGTAAAATATGTGGTTACAAACACATGGCTGGTAAGAAGAAGTTGAAAAATAATGTTTCAAATATATATTAAGTAAACAACAAAGCAATAGGCATTGGAAGTATTGTTGATATTTTAAAATTACTGTTGAATAGTATACATCCAAATTATATGTGTGCTAAATTAGGATTTGTATCCAATTATGATCTGATTTTATTCTTTTTATTTTAATCATTGAGATTTTATAGCAAAAGACAATGCAAATATTTACACATTAAGTCCCAAACACCAATGGAACACTGTTAATAAATCATTGGGTATTTGAATAAAACAGCTACAGCAATTTTAACAGTTCTAATGCCTTAATTTGTGTCAACTAGAACTAAAATTAACTTTAGAGTGTCACTTTGGTATAGTGGTTAAGGATACAGGGTATAAACCAGGAGACTAAATTCTATTTCCACTTGGTAAGTCATTCTCTCTTGTCTCCGGAAGCAAGCAATGGCAATTTATTTTTGAAAATGTTGTCAAGAAAGCTGCAGTGACTTGTCTAGAGAGTTACCGGGAATCGGCACTGATTTGAAGACACAGAATTTAATATAATGTTAACTTTAATTCACAAAACATTTGCAATTCCATTTGTATTTAAAAATAAGAGTTTAAGAAGGCATCATTGTGTTGAAGTTTTCAAATAATTCTCTACAATCATATGCCATTTTATCCTTTAGTGTGTCAGACTCTTGAATTACTGAAAGCATTTCTAAGTTGTTTAATGTCTTCTTATGTCATTATCTAAGGTGATGTGTATAGAACAACAGACTCTGATAGATCCTCAATCAAGTCCACTTTTCAGCCCAGTGCCTATGAAGGCAGGAGCCACCCCATTACAGCATTTTGTGTTGTCTTTCAGTCAGTTTAGTGGAGCAGAGAGAGAATCTTTAATATGTTTGGCAAATCAGCTTGGGGCAAGGTCTGTACACCATTACTTTTTAAAATGCTCTGGCATCCTATATTAAACCTCTGTCATATTAAAAGAGAAAGAAAAAAATGTATATGCTTTTCAAAAAGGCTAATAATATAAATTACTACCAAATTATTGAAAAAGATTGTTCATGGCCTTGTATTTATTTTGGTAGTTTTTCTTTTTAAGAATACTATTGATGCTTATGGAAAATAGATTTTTTTAAAATGTCGTTTTAGAGTTCAGGAATTCTTTGTGAGAAGAGCCAACCCAAAGAAAGGAATGCTTGTCAGCACTCATCTGGTGCTAAAAGAACCAGATGGCTCTAAATATGAAGCAGCAAAGAAGTGGAATCTTCCTGCCATTACTATGGCTTGGCTATTGGAGTCTGCTAGGATGGGAAAAAAGGCTGATGAAAGCAGATTCCTGATTGAGAATATTGACAACAAAGGTTAGTTGGCATGGAGCTGCATCTGTATGTTCTCGCTAGCGCACATCTGTGTAAACAATAGAAGCATTTATATATTCCCTCAGACCCCATTCATAAGCAGTTTTTCTATTACATTGTAAAAAAAAATAACATGTAAATATTATTGGTTGCCATATGGCACATTTGAACCATCAGTTTGTGTCTTTAAAGCAATTATATGTGTGTGTGTGTGTATCTTTGAATTAGATTGCCAAATTGAATCAGTCTAACTCAAAGTAAATTTGAGAAAAATGGTGAATTGTTTCAGAGGTGATCAGTTTAATTTCCCAATACAATGTGAAAAGTCAATTTTGAGATTTGATCAAATTGCTGTCAAAGCTCTGAATCAAACCTTTGTTCAACTTTATTAAAAAGATATACATTGTAAAGAAAAATAACATGTAAATATTATTGGTTGCTAGATGGCCCTGATGTTGCCCTGGGTCAGGACACTATTAATAGGGTTTTGCAACAAATCAAATAAGATTTTGAGAAGTGGAAAAACTTGCAACTATCCTTGATTAATAGGGTTTTGAAAAAAATGCAGTTGGCCATTCTTTCTCTTTTGGTAGAAGTATCCATTGTTCCTTCTGGCTCCACACAATAAATATATATGTGACATCTCCCTGATGCTATTCTGTACAATTTTCACCAGTGTTCTTTCCTCACTCATGAAATAAATATAGCGATATATCGGTAGATTATGCAGGTCTTTAAAACTGTCACATTGCTTCTAAATGTTCAAAGTCATTCAGTAAACTTTGCAGTTGAATGACATTTGGCCCTTTAAGCCAATGCTTTTTACAACATGATGCCTTGAATAGTTTACTCAAAGGCGGAAGAAGAGTTAAACAATCATGCAAACATTTGAAGGTTGTTACCTGGCATGAAGCCGTGATTTATTTCTTTCCAGTTTAATTTTCTGTTTATAATTATATGCATTGTATAGTATTTGCTACCATTGATGAAATAGTATGTTGGTATCCTAGCATGTTCTAAAAATTATTAGCTAAGGAATGTCTTTTTAGCACTCTAGAAACATATTATTCACTTTCAAAATTGAAAGGGCAAACTTACAACTCTGTTGTTAATTTTGTTATATTCACTGAACATATTAAAGAATTACCAAGGTAATTTTTATCAAGGATCACTGCAAATTGTAGCATAGGAGACAACATTTTTGTCTTACTATTTATTGTAATGAAACATGAAATACATAGTTTAAAATATTTTTAAATTATGCTTTAAAAATTTTTAAGATAAACAAAAGAACCTTACAAATTCTTCAGAAGAAATGGAGACAAGTATTGCACCTACAAATACACCTGATTATCCTAGTAATGTCCTTGAAACTGGAAAGATAACAGCAGTGACACCCCTGGATGTGAATCGTTTCCAAAGTAAAGCTTTCCAAAGTGTTATTTCACAGCATATTGGTAAAAATCTTAGCCCTCCAATTGGAAGCAAAGTAGCACAGAAGGAACCCTCTCTGCATCTAGACACACCATCTAAATTTTTATCGAAAGACAAGCTTTTTAAACCTTCTTTTGATGTCAAGGTAAATACTTTGGAAATCTTGTCCCTGTTGTAAATGTTTGAGAAAACAGTTAACTGTGGCTGTTATAATGTAACGATCAGTAAATATCAATTTGTTTTCTTTTTAATTTCAAAGCAAATAGAGTATGCTGTGTTTTAAGGTTAAGCTACTTTTTATATCTATAGTTATTTATTTTACTTGAATGAATATTTTATTATATGGATAGTTTATTTTCCAAGTTTGTATTATAACATAACATTGATATGATCATGTTGCAGATTAGAGTTAATAAAAGTTGTCCTTTATATTGAATATTAATAATATGTTCTAAAGTGTGTGTGTGTGTGTGTGTATATATATTTGTTGGTTAGAAGCAGAATTAGAATATATTCTTCAATTTAACATACTGAGAAGGGCTATATGACTGATCTGCTTTTCTCTTCTCTCTGGCAAGGAAGTTTCTTTCATTTGTACTTCAACTTCTATGCTTTCCTCTTATGTTAAAAAAGCTCCAAATTGAACTAATCCAAAATTGTGCTCCCTTGTTCCATATACATAATTCATTGCTTCCAGAAATGAGTATATAGTAGATGATGTGATGAATCCCAATCTTTTCTAACTTCCAGCCAACTAGTTTGTTTATATCTGGGAAGTTGGTGAAAGCTCTGGACCTCACTGACTCACTGCCTTTGAAGTGTGATAGTGAAACATTTCAATTATTTTGCAATTCCTACTTGAAATCATTAGATTTCTTAATGAAATTAAGGATTAATTTTAATTGAATCTATTCTGACAAAATCTTTAATTCAATATAGTTCCTTTACTTGTTGCAAAAATAATGGTTATAGTTTTTTAGTCATAGTTTTGTTTATTTTACAAAGTCCATCAACTATTGCTTCAAATCACATTTTAATTATACATTTAATATTATAAATCATCACCAGAACACTATAATGATATCCAGAATTTTAGATAATCCCTAGCATTAGTTCCATAATTTCTCCATAATTAGCTCCATAATTCTTCAACAGAAGAATTCATGAATGCCTTGAATCAGCCATGTTGAGTTTTTAAGCAGCTGTGGCTATTTCTATGTCCTCAATTTATAGCCATTCATTTAGTGATTATTCAAAGTTACAGTGGCATTGAAAAAAAGTGACATAATTGCTTTTCATACTTAACAACAGTTGAAGTATCTCCTTGGTCACATAATCAAACTTCGGACGCTTCACAACTAGCATGTATATATGACAGTTGCAGTGCCCTAGGGTTATGTGATCACCTTTTATGACCCTTTAACAAGCAAAGTAAATGGGGAAGCCAGATTCACTTAACAACCGTGTTACTAACTTAACAACTGCAATGATCCACTTTACCATAACAAGAAAGATTGTAAAATGGGGTGAAACTCACTTAACTTTATTAGCAACTGAAATTTTGGGCTCAATTGTCATAATTTGAGGACTGGTTGACAACCAGTCCTCAAATTATGACCACAACTAGTCTCTACTGTAATTGAGTACATTTCATCACAATTTAGTATGTAGGAAATTAGAATAATTTGATAAATATTTGCCTATTTCATAACAATTCTGTAACTTCTCAATATCCTTGAGGACTTATAACATAATAGGAGCTCTTGCCCTAGATTGAATGATGGCTTTCCTTATTCTTGTGGTAGCTTAATTTGGTGCCAGTAAAACTAACATATTTCATTTTGATCTGGATAAAAAGTAACCTTTGTTAAATCTTCTAATATAATATAAAAGCTTCTGTGATATGACTTGATTGGATATTTTACATCATTAGAAGAATAAAACAAAACTGTTTTATTTATTAGATTAGTTTATGAGAAACCTTTTGAAAATACAATCATTAATGCCTTTTTTTTAATTCCTATCCTCTAGGATGCTTTGGCAGTTTTGGAAACTCCAGATGGTCCTAACCAAGAAAACACAAATCTAAGTACTCCTCTTTCAGAAGTCATTGGCAGGAACTTAAAACTAGCTTTGGCCAACAGCACACGTCAAACAGTTGCTATCACTGCCAGTCCGCAGCTAAAAGCTCCAAGCTGGCAAATGGTGAGCTTGGCATTTGGTTTCATTATACAAGTATGGAATCAAACTTCATTTATTCTTGGCAAATTGTTATTTCCTGAAGTGGTGTTCATTTTATTGTGGAAGTAAACCTCTTTAAATATAATTTTTATTAAGAATTTTAATTACAATAGTAAATACTAATAAAAACTAAATGGAAAAAATAATGGAAGAAAGAATAAAAATAAGCTATAATATATAAAAAACAGAAATATATAAAGTGACTTCAAACCTTTGTTATGACAAATTATTAACTCTTCAACCCCTATAAGGTTTCACAAATAAATCTTTATCTCATATCCCATCCCTTATATATAAAGAAACCCATAAAGTATCAGTCTTTGAATTCCTATATCAGCAAAAAGTCTATAAAGAATTACCAGAAAATTGCAACAAAATATCTTATTTTAACCTTGAACAAACTAAGTTTACAACCCCTACTTTACAGTACTCCTATCAGTTTTAATCTTTAATTCAGTTAAATAATGTTGTAATATTTTTTTTCTCTTAAATTATTCTTTATCCATCACACAGATATCTTCAAGGCTTTAACAAGCCTCTTGTAAATCCAATAACAATGTTTTCCAAGTTATTCTCTTAGTTTCTCATTTGTGGTTCCTATTATTTGTATCTAATTTTTAAAACTTCAGGCACTTTCTTTTGTATATCCAGTAAAACGTTCCTTTTAAAATCATTCTCTTGTCTTCTCATCTTTAGTTCCACATTCCTTAAGTTTATCAGATAAACTTAATTCCACATATGTCATTCCTTCATTATGTCATTCCTTTACATATAATCTATTCATAGAAGCAGATCATTATTGATAGTGTTATTATTGTAGTTATTAATTTTTGGCTTTGTTCTTCAAAGATTTTAATAGTTTAGATTTCATAATTTTCTATATCATTCTGTAAATCCTAGAGTTAATTGACATCAGACTTCATTGTTTTTTCCTGCTTAAAATCTCCCCTCTAGTGCTAATTTCTAAATCATCACTTACCTTTTGTTATGAGTTGCAATCAAAAGAAATCTGTTGCAAGTTTTTTTATAATTAGTTCCAAAATCTTATAATAAAAGTCTTCCAAATTTATCTGGATCCTTATTCCGTTGGTAACTTTCTTAAATTGAAATCTTATTTACTGGTTTTTTTGGAGTATAATATGCACCTTTCCCCCCCTAAAAGGAGGTGAAAATTTAGCTGCATCTTATGCAACGAATGTAGCCCCGCCCACCCCTGGCCCCCACCCTTTGGCCTCTGCCTCCTAGCAGTTTATCTCTTTACAGTAAGAAGCAAGAAGAAACAGCTCGTTTCAGATTCAGCACAGCCTAATTAGCACAAGTTGATTGGATCGGCCTCCCGACTCTCAGCTGTTTTGTGCGGGCCTCTGCTGCTTCCTGCAAGAAGGTAAATTGCTGGGAGCATTTTTTTTTTTTCTTGTGCTAATCAAGCTATGCTGAAAATGAAAATAAAAGTAAAGCAGGCCATTTGCTGTTCGCTGCAACGAGGCAAAATTGCTGGGAGGCAGAGGCAGATTTCTTTTTCTTGTTTTCCTCACCAAAAAAGGTAGGTGCATCTTATAGTTCGGAGCGTCTTATACTCCAAAAAATACGGTATCTTTTTGCTCTTTACTTCAAACCCTTTAAGTTCTAAGCTTCTAATCAATTTTTATTTTGTTAAGAGATAAAGATAAATTCACCCAATGAAGATTTTTTAAACCTGTCATTCAGAGTGTCTTTAATAACTTGGAATGTGGAATGACTTTGGGGAAGAGGGGAAAGGGATGCTGCTGGGACAAAATCAGACAGGAGGGATCCCCTATGGCTTAATGGTCATCCACTTAGGAAGGACCCCCACCCTAAGGAGTCAAACAATTAAAAATGGCAATGGGAAGTTTTATAGTTTCAGACTTGCAAACTTGTTAATGTAGCTTTACAATAAAATAACTCGTCTAGTTGTCTATCCTGTCTGGTTTACCTGGAATTGCTGATATAGGTTTAGATTAGCTAATAGGCAATTTCTGAAGACAATTAGAAGGTTAGATTTATGAATTTATTGCCCTTTAAAAGGCTCTGCCACAGGTGTGAGCAAAATGGCTGATTCCATTGTCTTCCAATACTCAGAAATGGAATACCACTGTCCTGTAGTCTTGTGAGGAGCAACTGTCTGGAGCACATCTCCAACCCATTTGTTATTTGGAGAGGATTCTACTCACTGGCTCCTTAGTTTGTACTGTGATTATCAGCTCTGCTTTTGCAGAACTGTTTTCAATTTGCCATACGTTCACTGGAAATCTCAGAAGTAAGCATATCTGAACTGGGAGAAGAAAATTATTATTATTATGGAGGCTTTCTTAGATTTGGGATGACCTGGTGTATGGAGTTTCAGTCTGCATAATTAAATATTTTTTGCTATATTGCTGAACGTTTTGTGTTAGAGAAGTCTTAATTTTCAAACCTTTGGATGTTCAAGTCATGTAGGGCAGATTTTTTTTTAAAAAAGTAAATTTTTATTACATCATAATATGAACTGAATGGGCAACCATTGTGTGTGCTTCAATGACCTGAGGGCATGACATCACTTTGTAATTGTCATTTAAAAATAAAATCCAGGGGTTTTTTTTAGCCTTAATTATACCTGTATTGAGCTTAGTTATGAAAAATAGCAAGGCAGCTCTTGTTAAGAATTCTGAAATTAGTGAATTCTGAAATGCTCCTAAGCCTAAACATTTTGAAAAAGTATATGTAAACCACATAGTATAAGATTTTACATTGTGATGGGTAATTTAGGAATGGGGCCTCTCTATTCTGAGGGTCCAATTCATTTTACTACTAGCCTTTTTCTTAAGGGTGGCCTTCCTCAAGAGCTTACTCTTTCACCTTAAGGAAGAATTTAGAGTAAGTAATAGTTATATGATACTACTGACATAAAACTTGAGTTGTATTCTTCCTCTAGTGATGTCATCTAGTTCATCTGAGGGCAGTGTTGTAATAGCTAGCAGTGCCATTTTTAAAAATAAATAAATAAAAGTTTTTTATTTTTTTTATATTCAAACAACCAAACACTACAAAATCAATTATAATCCATCATTTTATCCCCACCCAACCCCCCCCGACTTCCCAGAGCAAAAACAGGATATAGCATTTAACAAACATGAGCTAAAATATGCTAACTATTACAGAATTCAAAACTCTCCCACACTTGTTAACTCCCCTTCTAAAAATTATACTTCAACCTTCCTTTTATAAATTCTCTTATCACATTTCACATTTGTAAAAAAAAAAAAATCTTATAATCCATAATCTTATTTTAAACATTTTAAAATCTCTTAATACATTAGCAGAACATTCTCCAAAATATAAATTTCAAAACTTTCAAAAAGTTATCCATTAAATTTTAAGTTATCCACCTTTAAACTTCAATACTTTAAAACTACAATAAAATTCAAAAAGTTATCCAACTTTAATTAAATCTTTTAACATCATGAGACAATCTCCAAAATATAACCAGTCTTTCTTTCTTTCTATATTTTTTCCAGTCCTTCTTCAATAATACTTTCTTCTTCGGCATTGCTCCTCCCCCTGCTTTTATTTTCAAAAATTTTGGGGTTTGAAATTGTAGTTGGTGTGTCTTTGGAATTCGTTCTCTTCTTGGGATTGTTTCTTTTAATTTGAAGCCCCCATTTCGACTCTTCCTGCATTTGTAGTCCATCAGTTCGTTCCTTAAATATTGATTCTGTCTGTAGGGCCAAAACTTGTCAAAATATTTATCAACCTGCAGTAAAGAGTCTTCTTGCTGTTTCTCAATTAATTGAATGGAAGCCTCTTCCAAAACCTCTGTTTTCGGTATAATAATCTCCATTTTAGCCCCAACAGTGTCTCTTTTATCCTCCAAAGTCACATTATCCTGATTAATTTCTTCCTCTTTTCCAGCCAGCAAGTCATTATTATTCCCCAATTTAAAATCTTGAATAGTTCTTTTAATTATCTGTCTTATCTCAACAGTCTCCACTTGTAAATTTGCTGACTCATATAATCCATCTTTAATTTCAGCCATTTTTCAATTGTCTCTTTATGTTTGTATTAATTTGGCTATCAGGTCATTAAATCCAATTATTTTCCACAAATTAAGGATGTAAGTTAGTTAAAAACAATACCACAGTCTTTTCCATTCCACTTCCACTTTAAATCTTTTTCTTGAATAACCCGATAGCTTTAACAATGTTACTGATGTTAACAAGGACTTTCACTTATAAGTTTCATTTTCACGCCCTAAGGCGCCATCTTTGCCTTTTTAAACGGAGTTAACATACAATACTTGCATTTTTAGTCTCCTGGATTAACTCTGCCAGCATCCAAAATCCAAATTCTTTATAATCTTTTTAGTTGCTTTGCTGGTGTGGTTGCGACACTTCGGTCTGCTTATTTTTAAGCAGACTCGTCCCTGCTCTGGAGCTCTGAAGGGCTTTCAGGGAGCTCTCACCCTGCAAACCCCAGGCTTAAAAAAAAAAGCCTGGGGGTCTAGGGGAGCTCTACCCAGACCCTTCTGCTCTTCTCTCCCCCTTTTTCCCTGGGGGAGAGTTTTTGAGCCGCTAGATAGCTGATTTTCGCTGTTCTAGCGGCTATACGGAGTCACGGGGCTGGAGCTCCTAAAAGCGCTAGCAGTGCCATTTTTGTTTGGAGATACCTTTTTTTAACTTAGCAAAATGGAGCTATTTTATTGAAAGAAAGAATTAAATGAATCCTGCCCCCTCCCTTTCCTTAAATATTAACTTTTTAAAGAGTTGTATAAACAAATGAATGCTGGAAACTTGGAAATGTTGAAAACTCAAGTGTTCAAATATTTTTCCTAACTTAAAATAAAGATGATATTGTGATTAAAAATGAACAAATAATTGAACATGTGAATATTAATAATAAAAGGGTCTCTAGAGATTATATTGAGATTAACAATAACACAATGATGTTTATACTGAGATTAATAATGATATAATGATAATTATATGGAGATTAATACTGAATGATAAAAGAATAAAAGGTTGGAAAATATTAAGAAATTTAAAGAAGTCCAGGACCTGGATTTATAAAATGACTATATTGAGATAAACAAATATGAGAAGAATTACATTACAGATATTTAGAAATGAAATAGGGATTGAAGCTAAAATATATGAAAAATAGATTACATTAAAAGAAATATAGTATGGATATAATGAACCAATCTTAACATTAAGATGTTAAAAGATATTATTTGAGGAAATTGATGGTTATAATAACTGGGATATTGGTTCAATACCTATAACAATTGTTATAATTTGAATATTTTTAATAATATAATTATAAAAGTAGAAGATGATTATGTTGGGAATAACAGTGAGAAAAATAAAGGTAATTATACTGGGATTAATAGTAAATAAAATGATTACACTGAGATTAATAGTGAGAAAAATAAAGATGATTACACTGCGATTAACAGTGGAATAAATATGATTACACTGAGATTAGCAGTGAGAAAAATAAAGATGATTACACTGGGATTAACAGTGAATAAAGATGATTACACTGAGATTAGCAATGAGAAAAATAAAGATGATTACACTGGGATTAACAGTGGAATAAAGATATATTTTGTACATTGGGATTAATTGGATGGATAAAAGAAAAGATTAAATTAGAAAATTGATAGCTATAATAATTGAAATATTGTTTAAGTATGTATAACAATTGTGATAATTTGAGCATTTATTATCTAAGTGAAAAAGAAAAGAAAACTGAAACAATATATGATTGATTTATAAACAAAAATTACTTAATTGGTGTTATATAAATGGTATGGTTTAATAGATATAATTTAGGATAATTGGGGAATTGTGTTAAAAAGTATTATTTGAACTAAGAACTATGTTTAAATTGCTATATTTCTAAAATTTAAAAGATAAGATTTAAATTTGATAAAGTAATAATGAAATAAAGATTTAATGAGCATAATGATATATAAATATGTTTGAATTGTATTGTTAATAGTGAGGATTTAGGGTAAGAATTGTTGTATTATGAGTTAATAATTGAATTAAGAATTAAAGTGGGTTAATAGAAGGGTAATTGTTTTGATTAAGTAAATATGTAAATTTTTTGTAAGATGGTATTAGTTGAATATGTGATATAAGATTTAGAAATAAGTACTATGGTAAAATAGTATAGATAAAATTTTGTTAAAGATTTTGTTAAAAATTGAACAAAGTGATGACTGGGTCAAAGCTCTGTTCCAAAAGGATGTAATTTGTATGTTTGGGGGGGGGGACTTTTTGCAAAAATATTTATATATTTTTCCTAACTTGTTCAGGAAGAAGAATCAAAACCTTTAGCAGATGTTGTCATCTGTGTGAGTAAGAAGCTCAGTAAAAAGCAGAGTGAATTGAATGCTATTGCTGCATCTCTTGGAGCTGATTACAGGTATATACAGCTGTAAGCTAAATATATAGCAATGTAGTCATTGTTAGAATGACTATAGATTTAAATTTTAATAGCTCTAGAAATTCAAATGGACTATATAATATTGTAATCCATTTTATGAAATATTTAATGATGGCTGCAGAAAATTAAACATGAAAACATTGGAATTATATAATATAATATTTATAGTATTACTGAATATATATTAATATGAATGTTTATACTAATAAAATATTAACATTTATTCATATTATGGAATTACATTCAATTTTACATTAAGTGTAAATCTTCCTTGAACAGTGGTCCTAAAAAAATCTAGAATTTATTGTAATCGTCCTCTCTAATAGATTCTAGTTGGTTTACAAAGTGCACAAACAATAGCCCAAACTAAAATAATAATAAAAATAGCAAACCATACCAGGGCCTCAAGCACATTGGGGATCAGAACCAGGTCTTACATGCTTTCAGAACTCTGGGAGAGAGGGCATTTTAGACCCTGTTCTAAAAGGCAGAGAACACGACAAAATGTATGCTTCTTTTGTCCTAACAGCATTTAATATATGCGACTTGGAGGATATCCGCTCTGCTTAAACATACAGGGGAGGAAGTAACAATTTGAATTGTTAAGGACTATATGGATTTTTATTTCTATATCTCTGTGTATCAGAATATTATTAAAAAAAGTTTCAATATATGTAAACAGGTAATGGCCAAATTTATTATAACAGAAATATTCACTATCTAGGTGAATTCTGCTATGTGCAAATTAATTCTCTTCTTCTGAATTAGCAATTATTTAACACGTGTTGATTGTCTGCATTTATTCTAGGTGGTGTTTTGATGAAACTGTAACACATTTCATCTACCAGGGAAGGCAAAATGATAACAACCGAGAATACAAATCTGCTAAAGAAAGAGGCATATACATTGTTTCAGAGCATTGGCTCTTGGAGGTAGGGATATCCTTTCTTTCTAATACTAAAATGAAGAAAATGTTTATTTTATTTTACTTATTTATTATTAATTATTAAATTTTATGCTATCCATCTCTCTGATATAGCAACTCTGGGCAGCTTAAAATATAATAAAAAGGTAAAAAAGATAATACAAAACAGTTAAAATTAAGGATTAAACCAAGAGGATGAGCAACGTGGGGATCTTCTGTCAGAGGCTTTTCTGGACCCTTTGGCAGACAAGATCTGAAGTTGGCCTCTTCCACTCACATGAGTGGAATCGCTAGTCCCATTGAGGTGAGACAGCTCTTCAGATACCCTGAACCCATACCATACAGGGCTTTAAAGGTAAAGACCTACACCTTCAATTGGACCTTGAGGCAAATTAGCAACTAGTGCAGGTCACAGAACAGTATTACATTTGCCATATAAGGGGCCTCTAGAACTTCTGTGCCATTGCAATCTGTACCAGTTGTAGCTTCTGAATACTCTTCAAAGGTAGCCTCATGTAGAGCACATTGCAGTAATCCAATTGAAGGATGACTAGGGTGTCCCAGGAATTGGCTTAACTAGTACCGTGTTTCCCCGAAAATAAGACGGGTCTTATTTTCTTTTGACCCCTGAAATATGGCCTTGGCCTTATTATCAGGGGTCTTATCCCTGAAGCGGGATAGCATGGCTAGTTCTTGCCCGCAGCATTGCCGGTGAGGATCAGGTCATAAAAAAACCTCTGAAGTTCTCACGGGCAAATCAGGTGCAAAGGAGAACTCTCCGCAGGGAACGAGAAGGGCCAAGCGACAGTGGAGTGGGTCCCAATGAAGCCCTACAAGAAAGGCAGCCACAACTGGAGTACTTGAAACTAGGCATGACCGGAGTTGCCTTTGCCCTCCTCCATTTCGGGACATTTAGGGTGTCGGGGCAGCTTCCCTCGCCCACCCCCGGGATGCTGCTGGGGCTCCTCTCGATGTAGCTGCTGAGCTGTTTGATCAGCTTGTGCCATGGCTATTTCGATGGCTCGCTTTAGCCGGAGATGTCCAACTGGACGTTGAATTACTATTTCGTGCCTGCCAACTCAGACAAGTCGCTGGGGAAGCTGGAAAACAAGTTTCAGCAGGGCCAGGAGCACGAGAGCCACAAGGAGAGCCGCCTCAACAATGACTTCCTGGGAATGCTGGTGCATGCACGGCCCCTCAAGGAAATGCTGACCGTCTTGGCTGGTCTGCGGGACAAGTATGAACTGCTTGCGCTCACTGTCCAGAGCCACAGTGACCGCCTCAGCCACCTCAAGACAGAGCATCTCGACTTCCGGTGGTTCCGCGAACACCGAACGGACGCTCCTGTAGGAGCTCCAGCCCTGTGATCTGTATAGCCGCTAGAACAGTGAAAGCCAGCTGTCTAGCGGCTAAAAAATCTCCCCCTGGGAAAAAGGGGGAGAGAAGAGCAGAAGGGTCTGTGTAGAGCTCTCCTAGACCCCCAGGTTTTTTTCTTTTTAAGTCTGGGGTTTGCAGGTTGAGAGCTCCCTGAAAGCCCTTTGTTAGCTCCGGATCCGGGGTGAGTCTGCCTTTTGCAGACCAAGGCATAGCGACCACACCAGCAATGCAATTTTAAGTTTTACAAGACATCATGACTTTGGATGCTGGCAGAGCAAAATCAGGAGAACGACAAAAAGCAAGTATTGAGCTTTAACTCCGTTTAAAAAAGAGGGAAAATGGCGCTTGAGGGCGTGAAAACGAAACTTACCAGTGAAAGTGCTTTAACGTTTGCAACATTGTTAACAACTACCGGATTACACATTAAGAAAAAGATTTAAAGTGGAAGCGGAAAGCAAAAGACTATGGAATTGATTTCAACTAATTTACATTTTTAAATTGTGTGAATAATTGGACTTTGAAAAAAAGAAAATGGCTGGTACCTTTGAAAGTGCTGAAGGACTATTATTACACGCACCAGCAAATATACAAATAAGAGTTATAATACATGAAATTTTTGAGTCACAAACCACTGCTTTACTGGAAAGTCTTAAAGGTTTTTTTGATGAAAGGTCTCAGGAAGAGGAAACTGTTTTGACTCAAAACATGGAGACAAAGGAGAATATAGTATCATTTCAAGGCTTGTTAGACAGTAGTGAACTGTTGGAAGAAGATGGGGCAGAAATCCAGTTTAATGTGATTTTGGATAAAAAGGATGCTTTCCAGACCAAGAGGGGAAAGCAAAGGAATCTGGAAGAGTTTAATCAGGAGGACTTGAGAGAGATTTATGGGGGTTTCAAATTAAATGAAATAACTTTAAGAAGACAAAAACTTTCAAAGAGACATCAACCTCAAATCCAAATTTTAAAATTCTCGAAAATAAAAGCAGGAGAAGGAGAAATGCTGAAGAAGAAAGGATTATCGAAGAAAAAGGACTGGAAAAAATACAGAAAGAAGAGAAGAACTGAAGATTAATCTTTTTTGGGGAGGATTTTGGCAATAGGTTGGGAAGCTTAATTAAATTTGTATTTTTAAAGTTTATTCTAAGATAATATAAAGGAAGTGTGTTATTACAATTGGTTTTGGACAAAAAAATGATAGCTTTTTAAGAGTTATCGAGGTAAAAATGATAGCTTTTTAAGAGTTATTGAGGTATTAAAATGGCTAATTAAAAATTTGAGGGATACCTTTCTGAAGGGCTTGAAATTTATATTTTGAGAAATGACTTAATGTCTTGATGTATTAAGAGATTTTTAAAATGTTTAATATAAGATTATAGTATTTTAAGAAGGTATATGAGATAAAATGTTTAAAGTTTTAAATGTTTAATTTTATGAAGGATTAAAGAGGATAAATGTCTAATTTAGAACTTTATTAGAGAGCAATGTTGATTGAGGAAGAAGGACTGGAAAAAATATAGAAATGGTTAATTAAAAATTTAAGGGATAGTTTCCTGAATGTTTTGAAATTTATATTTTGAGAAATGAATTAAGAAGGTCTTATTGATGCATTAAGAGGTTTTTAAAATGTTTAATATAAAATTATACTATTTTAAAAGGTATAGGTGATAAAATGTTTAAAGTTGTAAAATGTTTAATTTAGAATTTTTAATGCTGAATAGTTAGAAATTGATAATTGGTTTATGAAGGAATAAAGAGGATAAATGTTTAATTTAGAATCTTATTAGGGAGCAATGTTGAAAAAGAAAGGTGTTTGAGGGATGAAAATGAAACTTATCAGTGTTTGTTAATGCTTGTAATATTGTTAAAGTTATTGGATTACATACCAAGAAAAAGGTTTTTATATTCAGGAAGAAAGAATTTAACCTAATTGATTTTGAGAATTTACAAAAGGGAGGTTGATGAATTTGCAAAAGAGGAGTTAAAGAGTGTGAGGGAGTTTTAAACTTTGTAGTAGGTTAGTATATTTTAGCTTTTGCTTGTTAAATGTTATACCCTGTTTTTGCTCTGGGAAGTCAGGGGGTGGGGTGGGGAGGGGGAGAGGGTTGGATTGGGATAAAATTGTTGAATAGATAAAGGTACAAATATAAAAGTAAATGTGGGGAAAATGTTATGTATTCAGATAATACACTGATTGATTGATTATATATTGTATGTATGCTTGTTTATAAAATAAAAACTTTTCAATAAAAAAAAAAAGACAGAGCATCTCAAGGGCTGAGCGGGAGCGGGCACCTGGCTGGGCTTCGAGGTACCCTCTCTTCCCCACCCAGTGGCCGGCCACACCTGTGGGACACATGCCAGCCACCCTTCCCCACGGACAAACGGACTTTCCTCCATCACATGCTGACCGGGCATGGCAGGAGCTGGAAGTCAGGTAAGACACATGTCTAGCTTCTCTGCCGTGTCTTACCTGACTTCCAGCTCCTGCCATGCCTAGCAAGGGGGGGGGAAGAGATGGCAAGGAGAGCCCTGTCTCGCTCCATGCATCTCGCTTCTCCACCGCCCCACCCCTCCCCACCTGCCACTCCCCCTCGTCAGCCGAGATCGGCAAGCCAGATTCGGGGATCTGAACACACTGCCACCACCTGAGAGGAGAAGAACATGAGAAATGGGCGCTCTCGCAGCGCCTCCTCTTTCTTCTTCTCCCAAGTGGCAGCGGTGCATCCGGCTCGCCGAATCTGGCCTGCTGATCTCGGGCGGCAGTGGCTCTGATGTTCCCCCTCACTTTCCCCCCCATGCATGTGTCTAAGTATTTGGGGGGCTTATTTTCAGGGGAGGCTTATTTTAGCGTATGTGCTTGAAAGCACAATTGGGCTTATTATCGGGACATGTCTTAGTTTTGGGGAAACACGGTACATACCATATTTTTCGGAGTATAAGACACACTTTTTCCCCCCTAAAAGAGGGTGAAAATTTGGGTGCGTCTTATACACTGAATGTAGCCCCGCCCACCCACCGGCCCCCACCCTTTGGCCTCTGCCTCCCGGCAATTTGCCTCCTTGCAGCAAACAGCAAACTGCCCGTTTCAGCTTCAGCACAGCCTGATTAGCACAAGCAGCTGATTGTTGGTTGGATCGGCCTCACGACCATCAGCTGTTTCAGGCTGCAGGGATTGTCATTGCCTATTGCTGCCTCCACGTGCCCCATTTTCCGCCTCCGCTGTTTGCTTCAAGGAGGCAAATTGCTGGGAGGCAGAGACAGATTTTTTTTTCTTGTGCTAATCAGCCTGTGCTGAAAATGAAACTGAAACAAGCTGTTTGTTGTTTGCTACAAGGAGGCAAATTGCTGGGAGGCAGAGACAGATTTGTTTTTCTTGTTTTCCTCTCCAAAAAAGGTAGGTGCGTCTTATAGTCCGGAGTGTCTTATACTCTGAAAAATACGGTAGTTGTGCAAAGACTCCTAGCCACAATTGCCAACTGCGCTTTGAACAGGTATTGTGAATCTAAGAGAACCCCCTCCCCCTTGCAACCATATCCAGAATTAAAAATGATAAACTCCCAAATCCCAAAATCTTTTCAATCCAGTTATATAGACACCCATAGCCTCTAGGCTCCTCATGGCAAACCTA